TGTCTATGGCCTTTGGCTGGTTACATAGATATGTTAAATAGCTCTGGCCAAGCTCTGAGCCAGGGGAATGGAAGTAACTTCCACACCAAGACTTAACTGGGGGGCAGGTCCCCTGAGTTACAGCGCCTGCATGGGAGCTTGGAGATCATTGGTTCCATGACATTGGGCCACACCTGCCCAGACCCACAATGGCAGCCCAGTAAAGCTGGAAGGATATAAATTCTGGCATGCGAGACTGGGTGTGGGAGGAGTCGGAAATGGGGCTGCTGAGGAAGATTGGTGTGGGGATTTAAAACCCCAGACTCAGCAGTCACGGGGAGAGAAAACCATGCAGTTTTGGCTGAGTGGAGAGTCCTGTAGCCATGTAAGTGATAGTTAAGACTTGGGAAAATTTAGCTTAAGGTAAATAGTCATAAATCAGCAAGTAATGTGTATGTTAAGTTTTTGTTTCAGTAACTACAGATAAGGCCCATCCTGGTGCCTGGGATTCAGCAGTTGACCTCTTGGGTCACTGGCTGGAGATTACCTCATCTGGAGACATCTGTACCAGGAAGAAGCAAGCGACTACTCTTCCCCCTTGGAGGCAACTGTTGAATTTCAAAGGCTTTCGCTGATACCTTGTTTGCCCTCCCCCAACCCCCTTATAAAAGATCTGGCTGGGAAAGAAATGGCAAGATGGTTTGTTAGGGTATGAACCTGCCATCTTCTCGGATTGCCGGCCATCTGAATAAAGCGCCTATAAAAGATTCAATCACTGTCATTGCTTATTGGATTTGGTAGTGACAGGCAGCCCGAACGCCGGTGTCTTTTCCGGTTACATAAGGAAAGGGACCATGTGGCTGTGGCAGTGAGGAGAACCACGTGCTTTGGCCAGAGTAGGGGGATCACCCCCCACCCCCGCCCCTGGCAGCCATGAGAAGAATCACCACACAGCTTCAGCAGAGAACCACCACTCGGCTTTAGCTGGAGATCCTGGCAACACAGCGGATGGTGCTGGGAACTGAGGAAGTCCTGCCAGCCAAGCATGGATTACCAGGAAGAACCAGGCGCTGCCTGAGCCACAGACTTCTATTTCTTTTCCTGAGGTACAGTACCCCAGATTGGGCAAAGGGGAAAGGAAGGACTGTGTGTGTTTGTGGGTGTTTTAAGGGACTTTAGGATTTTAACAAAGACATTGTCATTACTCTTAAGTCTGTATAACTTGAATAAATAATTCCTTTCTTTTTCACCAATCTCTAACATGGAGAGTTATAATTCTCTGGCACAGGGAAAGGTGAACCTAGTACAGAGGAACCCCAAGAGAAACGGGGGTCAATTCCATAGCATTGTGGGACCCTCTTCCCTGGTGGCCAATAGGGGAGGATCATGGGAGACCACATGCACAGTAGCTTTAAAGTAATACTAGTACTTGTACATGCGCAGTAAAGCCCACCAAAACTAGCCAGGAAGGATCCGCCCTATAAGAATAAAGTCCCTCTAACCCATGAGGTCAATCTCTGCTTGGAGTTGGCCTGCTCCCATGTTCTCTTCTATAAACTCTGGGTGTTTGGTTCAATTCTTTGTCCCGATCACTAAGACCCTGGTTACCTGTGCCCACCTGTGACACTATGTTGTTACTTCGGTCACTGAATCTGTAAGACCAACCATGCAGCCCGACACCGACCCTGGCCCCGGGGCTTGTCAGGTTTAGTGTGTGGCCTTTTTTTTTGTCCACACTAACATTACATAAACTTCAAGTAAACAATTTTATAACACATCATCTGTTTATTGCATGGTGTGCTCACCTCCCTTAGTCTAGTCTGCCTCCGTCACCATATATTCGACTCCCTTTACCGTCTTTATCCTCCCCCCACCATGGATTGATTTTCTCTTGCTGTGTAACAGATTGCAACTCCCATGGGTTAGGAGTCGAGGCATCCTGGTCCTCTACTAGGGTCTCACAAGGCGTCAGCCAGGTTGTATCTGCAGCTGGAGAATGGGCTGGGAGGAATCTGCTTCCCACCTTACTCAGTCGCAGGAAGTTAATTTCCCTGTTGCAGCAGGGCAGAGGGCTCCAGCTTTGGCTGGCTGTTGGCTGAGGGTTCCGCTATTCCTAGAGGCCGCGTCAGTGCTTTGCTATTTGGGCTTCCCCAACATGCTTGCTTACTTCATCAGGCCCACGAGAGAGTCTGCAGTCTGTTAAGAAGTTTTATTAACATAAAGTGATCACAGGAGTGACATCCCAGCAAACCACAGACCCTGCCACTTCGGAGGGCCTTCTCCGCTTCCCCGCCCCTCCCTACCACGCAGGAGGCGGGGCCAGGCGCTGGACCCGCCTCCTCTCCGCCCTGGAGCGCTAGGCGCCGCCAGAGTCGCAGGCTCTGCGATCGGAGAGCCGCGATGGCGGACGTGTCTGAGAGGAAGGTGCAGCTGTTCGTGCTGCTGGCCTTCGCCTCCGGAGTGCTTGTGGGCTGGCAGGCGAACCGGCTGCGGAGGCGCTACCTGGACTGGAGGAAGCGGAGACTGCAGGACAAGCTGGCGGTGACGCAGAAGAAGCTGGATCTGGCCTGACCTGGACGTCTGCTCCGCCGGCCCACACGCGCCCGCGCCGTCCTGCCCGCCGGGGTCCTCCCGCCGAAGCCAGCGGGCCGCTCGCTCCTCGCGGAGTGTCGGTGAGCAGCACGTGGTGCGGCCGTCTGGGGAGGCTCTGGAGTGGGGCGGGCGGCTGGCGGCAGCTCGCGGGAGACGGCTGGCCCGCCACCGACGCCAGGAGAAGGAGGAAGCTGTTTCCCCTTAGCTTGCAGTGGTGTCCTAGTTCAGTTAAGTGCGTGTATTTACTGGGAATTGCCACGTGCGATGTCACCACATTCAACTTAAAGTACTGGTACTGGAGAGAAGGAAAGGAAAAAGGAGGTCTGACCGAGGTGTCCCTGCCACCTTTTACCCCCTTTTCATTCTTGCCAGTAATTTCCTTGGTAGCACCGTAGTCTCTGCATTGGTGTTTTGTAAACTCCAGTCTGAATCCCTGGGTTATTGGCAGCCTGGCAAAGTGGAAAGGGCAATGGCCTGGAAGTCTCATCTTGCACCTAATCCTGGCTTTTTTATGGGGGCTGTGAAAATGTTTGGGGTCTCAGTAACTCTACAATAGGATAATTTCAAGTTAATGATTATGTATTTCTCAATTTTTTTCTCTTTTCTGTTTTCAATAGCTTGTTGAAGATGGATATTGAGCACTGGACAGACATTACTTCTTGCATTTATGAGTCAACTTTATTTAAAAAATAAAAATTTAAACATCTTTGAACTTTTTTTTAAAAGGAAGAGGAATATGCTGGCCATGCAGTTCCCTGCATCAGGAGAGCTGGATTTTAAAAAATTTGTTAGTGTCTCGAGCAGATACCTTGTTTCTTAAGGAATCTATGCTAATTCCATGGTACAATTGTGAAACATAGTTGCCTTGGGCACTATTATGAATCCTTTTGGACAGTTGTTTTACTGACCTGATGAAGAACTTAACAGGCTATGTAAAAATAACTGAGGTAATGGCGGTGTATTTAAGGCATTTGCGCTTCCAGGAGTGACAACTTAATCTAAGTACAGAGTATATGTTTTCATCAGCAAGAGTTTCATTTGTGTCATTATGGAATAGGCATGTGAAGGAGAAACCCTCTTGAATAGAGCTTGGTGATAAATCCCAACTGTATCTAAAAATCAAGAGCAAGTGATCAAGGCCCTGGTTGTCTTTGGATCTACAAGACGTGATTTCTAGAACACTGACCTTGTTCATTCCCGTATAGATTAATTTTGTGTCTTAGCCAATGTAATGGCAGCTCCATGTTAACAAGAACATTTAGAAAAGTTGTTTCCACAGAAAGCTTTATTTTTTCCATTTTACTGGAGCCATTATGCTTTGTTACTTCCAACCTTAAGTTCATTCTGTGAACGCAGTACTGAAGGACTGAAATGCTAGTTCTTACAGCTCTGTCCCATTTGGGCTGCAGTTTGCTGAAGTATCCCAGTCACCACTGCTCACTGAGGCTCCAGGAGTTGAGGCTCTTTGAGATGAGGTGGGTTTCTTGAGGCACATGGTGCTCCCGGACTGTTGGTTTATGCCCGATTAAGGTCTAGGTTACAGCCAGATGTGCCTGTTTGGGCCTGTTCATGTGCCATGTTCCTGGTGGATCTGATTGTTCCAGTGTTGCTCCCTTTCTTATTAGTTATGTGTAGCCCGCTGACACACTCATCTCCCTCTCCTGTCTCACCTCAATGTTCTGCCCCTCTGGGCATGTGCTGCTCCCCCCCCCCCCAAGTCCTGACTAGCTGCTTATGTGGTTTTCAGCCACACCATGCCACTCTTAATTGTTCCCTTGTTTTCTGCTTGCTGCCTCTTTACATCATGGCTCTGTGTCCCCAGCTCTGTTGGTGGGCAGTTCCCCTTAACATTCCGTCACCATTTCTCCTCTAGCACTCTATCTCATGCCCTTCTAAAGTGTGATTGTTTTTTCCTCCTAAAAATGCTGTCTCACTTGGAGATGTTACTTTTCCCATGTTAGCTAAAATTGGCAATGAAGAGGTTGGGAGATGGGTTAGGATGCCAGTCATGTACCCTGGAAATGACAGACTTCACTCATCAAAATACACGACCCCTCCCAACCCCACCATTTTGATGTTGATGCTGTCCCAGGACTCAGGGAATAAATGCTTATAACTCTGAATATGGTATAAGGACATATAAAATCAAAGCCATCTTTCCCATCCTTCTCATTGCTCATATGTATACTCATATGCTGGGGGTTTATTTTTCCCAACACAGTTAAATTATATTCATGATCCTGTCACTTTTCCATTTCTATTATATGAAAATCTCTAAATCAGATAGAGGATAATTTTTCCTCAATTTATTTATAGACATTTAAAATAAATAAGGATTTAGCCCTGGCTGCTGTGGCTCAGTGGATTGAGTGCTGACCTGTGAAACAAAGGGTTGCTGGTTCAATTCCCAGTGGGGCACATGCCTGGGTTTTGGGCCATGCCCCCAGCAGGGGGTGCACAAGAGGCAAACACATTGATGTTTCTTTCCCTCCTTTCCCCTCTCTCTAAAAATAAAATCTTTAAATAAGGGTTTCATAAATGATGAATTGTTGTTAGTGCAATTTTTTTCTTTTTTACCTCTTACAAGATCACTTAGGAATACTAATTTATCAGTACAACTTTGGGAAAATAGGCAGTATCTACTAAACTTGAACATAAAATGCCCTGTGGCCCAACACAGCACATATGTAAATAGTAGCACTAGTTATAATAGCCATAAACTGAAACTACCCACATGCTCAGCAGCAGCAGAAGGGATGAGTCAGTACATCACACAGTGAAATACCAGGATGAACAAACTATAAGACAGTGATACAAGTGTATCTCAAGCATGTTGAGTGACAAGCCAGACAAACCACCAGGACACTACAATTCCACTGCACAGTTAAAAAAGTTTTTGCTTTTAGCACTTTGGGTAATGTTCACTTTTGATGTGTGTGTGTGTGGTGGGGGTGGAGGTGGATAGGAACTAGGAGGGAAGGACTGCTAGGGTGCTAGTAATGTTTTGTATCCTAATCTGGGTGATGTTATGTGGGGGTGTGTTCAGTCTGAAAATTCAGTGAGGTGGACATTTGTCACTTTATGATATACTTGAAGATAAAAACTACACATAAATAACATGGCATTTGGGCCTGTGGAATCAAGTTGTGTATGGTACTGGAGAACGTTTATATTAGGGTGGTTCATCATTTGAAAAGTGAGCTCAGATCATTTTTACTCAGTGTTGTGGAGTTTGGGAATTGGATTTATAGGATCCAGTCCCACTTGGGGGAAATGTTATTACAATTTGAGAGTAGATGTAAAATGCAGATCATAATTATTTGCTCACAGGCTTGCTGTAGGACAGAATCACCATCTTCACAGAAATGCAAATAGAATGAAATGGAACTTCAGCAATACCCCCAATTGCAAAGAACTAATAACTGCCTCTTGAAAACAGACTATGCAGCAGAACCGTGTATTCCATGAGGGCCATAGAGGAAAGCTATCCTTGCAGTAAGTTTAAGATGCTTACATGGCATCTTAAGCAAAACTGGCATCAGAAAATTAGTGGCGTAACACAGAGGGATCCAGCAGGCATGTGACAATAGTGCAGTATTGCGGGTTGTGCAGTTTTGGAGACCGTGAGAATCCCCTCACCTCCACTCCCGGCCTTCGGGTTGGCCAGGAAAAAATGACCAACAGCGCTGGGCGCCTGAGAGCTCCTGGCCTGCAACGGCAGGGGATAAGTGACAGAGCACCACAGCCGGCAATTTTTACTCTAGCTCGCGAGTGTGAGGCTCTGAGGAGGACGCGAGCTGATGGCGTCACCCAGTGACGTCATGGTGGGGGGTCGGGTGTCGGTTTCCTTGACGACCAGCTCGCCGCCAGCAGAGGCGAGGAGATGCTGGCGTGGCGGCCTCGCAATTCCCTGCAGTCCTTGCAGCGCCAGGGTCGGGAGCTGAAGCAGCAGGTACGTCTGGCAGTACTCGGGGCCTGAGTCGTGAGGCGGCCCGGCCTCTGGCGGGGCGAAAGCTGGGTGTCCGAATCCTGGGAGTCGCCCAGATCCACGGGCGACACTCCCAGCTATAACGCTTGCATCTCAGCATCCCTGACAGAACCCGGGTTCTGACTCCTCTTCCTCCCAACCCGACCCCAGGGACCGACCCTCCGGAAGCGGTGACGTTCGACTGAGCACCCTCACCCTAACATTTCCCTCTCCGAACCTGACACCTTACCCACCTCAACTCGGAATCTAACCTTTTAACAGTAACCGTTTCCAGTCTTCTTTGCGCCCACCACCACTCTGCGGTCTCTAGACTCCTTTCCCGCCGGCCTTCCTCCAACGGAGGCTGTTAGTGCATCGCTGAACTCAAGCGCACTGGAAATAGAGTAATGTGTAAGAACAAAGGACTTGAACTGAAGGAGAAATGCAAGTAATTAAGATACACAAGAAAAGTTAAGAGATAATCAAGCAATTGCAAAGGAGAGATAGCTACCATCTTTTTAAAAAGTCCTCAGTGCTGGGGAGGCTGATGGAACAGACACCTGCATGCACTGCTGCGGTCTATAAAGTACAGCAACTCTGCAAAGCAGTTGGACAAGGTGTAGCAAATTTTCATGCTCCTAGACTGGGTGATTACATTTCCAGGACTTTACCGTACATATTTTTTTTTAAATTGGGACAGATATTAATACATAAAAGTGTTCATCACAGTATTAGTCATCAGAAAAAAGACTGGATACAACTTAAATGCTCAGTAATGGAGAATGGATAAATAACTTGGGAGGGGCTATAACATTAAAATTTTGTTAGAGATTTTAATGTATTAGGGAAACTGATAAAATATCAGTTTAGAAAAACAAATTTGAATATACAGTGTTTCAATAAGATGTAGCCATATGTAGTCACATATGGAGGAAACATGCTAAAATGGTAACTGGTAGCATGCTCATGATTATTATGTTTCAAAACATTTTGATATTTTCATGATTTTGAATACCAAATGTATATTACCTGAAAAATAAAAGAGTTGTTTATTTTCTGAAATTCCTATTTTACTTTGCTAATTTAACTTTTTTTTCCATTTCATCTGTTACCAAGTGTTGTTTCCACTAAATAAGATGATTTTATAATCTATGGCAGACAAGAGATTTATTGAATGCTCATATGTTATCCAGTTTGGGACTCTCATTTAAAAAGTACCAAAGATTTGATGAATAAATATTTCTAAAGTAACTTTACTGGGATTATAGTGGTGCAACAAAAACACAATACTCTTCTGGTAAAACTAAAACTTGGTGAGGCGTTTACTTAAGATGAGCTTTGGCTGGATGTATAAAATGGTTCTGTATCTAATTATAATTTAGTGGAACATTCAGAGAGAACCAGGAAAAGTTTGAGGTGTAAACTACCAAAATTGTTATTAAAACAAAGATGAAACAAAACAAACTATTGACAAGGATTGTTACACCTAGAGAATTAGCTCAGGAGCCTCGGATACCCTGGTGTCTAGGAAGGGCTCTCCAATTGTGTGAGTTCATTCTTCTCTGTCCCCACAGAGGGCACCTAAAGTGAAAAACAAAACAGATTTCTACTTGGTGTCCAGGAGACAAGAGCACAACTGGTTCATGCCTGAGATGACCACTGTCATCAGGTATATGCGTGTTGTAATAACACTGAGACAGATGAAAAATGGCAAGAGTAGATTCCCTGGCTGGTATAGCTCAGTGGATTGAGCTCGGGCTGTGAACCAAAGGGTCGCCGGTTTGATTCCCAGTCAGGATACATGCCTGGGTTGCAGGCCAGGTCCCCATTGGGGGCCCTGTGAAAGGCAATCACACACTGATGTTTCTCTCCATCTCTCTCTCCCTCCCTTCCCCCTCTCTAAATAAATAAATAAAAAATCTAAAAAAAAAGCAGTGAATTAAAAAAAGTAAGCTCAAAAAATAGCAAGAGTAGAGAAGCTAGTGGACTTTTATTTCTCTTCATCTACTGTATCTTCACATCATTTAAAGAAAAGAACCCAACAGAAGTATATAGCTCCGTTTTGGATACATTGACAAAGTTACATGTAGTGTTTGGAAAACATGAAGTCAAGGTGTAAGACCTAAGAGTGAGGACAAACAAACGCGGTATATTCATACAGTGAATATAAGCGATAAGAAGGAACAAACTAATGATGCACAACAAACAATATAGAATTATCTAAAAAATATGTTGTGTGAAAGGATCACACAAAAGGATACAGCCGTGACCTGTGTGGCTCAGTTGGTTGGGCATTGTCCTGCAAAGTGAAAGGTTGCTTGTTTGATTCCTGGTTAGGGCACATGCCTGGGTTGTGGGCTCATACAAGAGGAAACCGACTGATGTTTCTCTCTTGTATGGATATTTTGGATGTTTCCCTCTTTTTTTTCCCCTCCCGTCCTCTCTCTGGAAAATAAGTGTGTGTGTGTGTGTGTGTGTGTGTATACATATGCGTGTACTTTTTATATATATATATATATATATATATATATATATATATATATATATATATATATATATATATATATATATATATATATAAAGAGTACATATTTCCTGGGAACATTCTGGGGTAATGATATGTTGATGGGATTGGGTCACATGGGTGTATACAGATGCTTATTTAAGATATGTACATTTCATTGTATGTAGGTTTTACATAAAAAATCAAACTCTAGTTAGTGATACCCATGGTGTATTATTTAGGGGGAAATTTGATGATTGCAGTTTACTTTGAAATGCATAAAAAATAAGACAGACCGATGAATAGATGGATCAAATAAAAGGGTGTAAATATAGTAAAATGTTAATGGTAGAATCTAGCTGGTGGGTATATGGGTGTTCACTATGAAATTTGATTTTATTGTATGTGTTCATCATAAAGTATTGGGAAAAGATTACAATTTTATTTCCAAGGTTATATTGTATTTGAGGATATGATATTTTAAACAATTTATGTTTATTGTAGGTTGATAGTTTGCTTTCTGAAAGTCGATCGAAAGGAGCTCTAGAATCCAGTAAAAGACGAGATATGTACCAAAGGTAAAGCATACTAAATTTCGTAAGTTTTCCAGAAACTGTTTTGTACTTCAAATGAGCTGTGTTTATAGTGTACAAACTGTTTGAGGCAATTTCTTTTGTTATTTTTATTAGTACAGTTTTTAAAAGGATAAAATAATAATGAGAAATAATACTGAGGTAACAATGAAATTTTTCAAAATGTATTTTAAAATATTACTTGCAACTATATCTATCAAGTCTAAATATTGGAATGATGAAGTTAAATAAATACAAATGTTAAAGAGAGACAATTTATTTTGTACTCTTATAAACCAAGCAGTGTGGTCCTCACTCTAAAAACTTTTTCTTAATTTTCACAGTAACACCATGAGGAAATTAAAGTTCACAGTGGTTAGTTACTTTGTCTAGCATTATTTTGCTATCTGACATATTTGTCTGACTATACTTTTCTATAAGACACTAAAGTATGAAGACAATAAAGATGTTTTAAGTTTGCTAAGGAATGCAGGATTCAGTCCAGCAAGAGAAGGAATGTCACTGGAGTTGTAGTGGAGATGCAGGCCTTGGTCCATGTGAATCCAATGGGAGAATCACATCATGGTATAACTTGGATCTAGTAGAAACCACTCTAAACCTGAAGGCTGTACACTTGCTTTTGTGATAGCAACTACACAGAACTGCTCCGAGTGAACATTGGTGGCTTAGGCAGGATTACGGTAGGGTCCATGGCTTGTGTAGTCCCAGATCCTGTGACCTGGTCAGAAACCTGTCTATTAACAATTTCTGAGGTAGGAAAACTGCTCTGGATGTTTGTATGTGTGTATTTTTTTTTGAGAATTTTTATGTATTTATTTGAACCAAACTGAAGACAATGCTGAGAACCAAGATTTCAAATGCTCCTGGTGGATAAGTGCTTTTGTTTTCTTTTGACTTTTTTTTTAAATCATCGGAAGAGTTTAAAATTAAATAGAGTTTAAAATTATATAGTCATGATAGAATATATTGAATTAGGTTATTAATACTTTTATATTAAGTTTAGGACATCATTAAGATAATCTGTGTGTTTGGGGTATTAAAGAGCTTATAACATTCAAAAGAACATGAGAGTCATTCTACTAGTTTAAATAATTCATTAGAATTATTTGAAAAATATTTACTTAAGTCAGGCATTCAAAGTGCTTAAAAGCAAAATTAAGTTTATATGAATTTTAAAACATCTAAAGGAATTTAATTAACTATGTTTGTTAGTAGGATTGATTTTGTAAAAGGAATTTATGTCAAGTTGAATTAATTAAACAAAAATGAAAGAAAAAATGTGGGTGATTTTACCTGCTTTACTAGATTTTACATTTGCAAGTATATTTTATTGATTAGGCTATTATGGTTTTCCCAATTTTTTCCCTGTTTATCCTCCCTCTGCCCTGCAGCCCCCAACCCTCCAGCTCCCTCTCTCTGCTTAGTTCTGTCCATGGGTTGTACATATAAATTCTTTGACTTCTCTGTTTTCTATACTATTCTTAACTTCTCCCCTGGTATTTTATGCATACTAATTATGCTTCTTCTTTCCTGTACTTCCCCCCTGTTCCATCCCCCATCCCCTCACCACCGATAACCCTCCATGTGATGTCCATTTCTCTTGATTCTGTTGCTGTTCTAGTTGTTTGCTTAGTTTTTTTCATTTTTTTTTTGGTTCAGTTATTGATAGTTATGAGTTTGTTGTCATCTTACTGTTCAGAGTTTTTGATCATCTTATATTTCTGAGATAAATCCCTTTAACATTTCATATAATTAGGGCTTGGTAATGATGAACTCCTTTAACTTGACCTTATCTGGGAAGCACATTATCTGCCCTTCCATTCTAAATGATGGCTTTGCTGGTTAGAGTAATCTTGGATGTAGGTCCTTGCCTTTCATGACTTGGAATACTTCTTTCCAGCCCTTCTTGCCTATAAGATTTCTTTTGATAAATCAGCTGATAATGTTATGGGAACTTCTTTGTAGGTAATTCTCTCCTTTCCTCTTGCTGCTTTTAAGATTCTCTCTTTATCTTAATTTTGGGTAACTTAATGATGATGTGCCTTGGTGTGTTCCTCCTTGGGTCCAATTTCTTTGGGACTCTTTGAACTTCCTGGATTTCCTGGAAGTCTATTTCCTTTGCCAAATTGGGGCATTTTCTTTCATTATTTGTTCAACTAAGTTTTCAATCTCTTGCTCTTCTTCTTCTCCTTCTGGCACCCCTATGATCCAGATGTTGGAATGTTTAAAGTTGTTCCAGAGGTTCCTAAACCTCTTCATATTTTTGAATTCTTGTTTCTTCATTCCGCTCTGGTTGAATGTTTATTTCTTCTTTTTACTCCAAATTGTTGATTTGAGTCCCAGTTTCCTTCTCTTCACTGTTGGTTCCCTGTGTATTTTTCTTTATTTCACTTTGTATAGCCTTCACTTCTTCCTTTATTTTGTGGCCATATTTAATCATTTCTGTGAGTATCCTGCTTACCAGTGTTTTGAACTCTTCATCAGATAGGTTGGCTATCTCCTTGTTGCTGAGGTCTTTTTCTAGAGTTTTGATCTGTTCTTTCATTTGGAATATATATATATATATATATATATATATATATATATATATATATATATACATTTTTTTTTTTGTCTAGGTACACCTGTTACATGGTAAGGGGCAGGGCCTTAGATATTGGCCAGGGTGGGGCAACCCCTTTTGCAGCTTTGTGGCTATATGTGGGGGAGGGGTCCAAGAGAGAACATTGTTGCTTCCTCAGCTTTCTCTCTGCTTTCAGTCACTTCTCCCACTACCCACGAGTGAATTGCACCTTTCTGGTGCTGATTCCCTGGTGGGTAGGTTTGTGTACATTCTAGGATCCTGTGGGTCTCTCCAACAAACTCTCCTGTGAGGCTGAGAGTTACTCCCACTAGTGCAACCCCCACAGATTTTTACAGCTAGAGGTTTTGAGACTTTATTTCCCTGAGCTGGAACTCTAGGTTGTGTGGTCTCTCTTTCTTCCCAGTTGTTCCTCCTGGTTTATCTGCACACAAATGTGGGACTGCCTGGTCCTCCAGCAGCCACCTCACTGCATGTCCTTTCTGCGCTGGGTGCCTGTCTCCTCCCCTCCTACCAGTCTGGTTGAATGTTTCTTCTTTAATTCCTTGATTGTTGGGCTTCCATACAGTTCAATTTTCTGTCAGTTATGGTTGTTTTTTTTTTGTTTTTGTTTTTAGATTGGTGGTTGTCTTTTTTGTTGTGTAAGGAAGTGAAGTGTATCTACCCACACCTCCAGCTTGGCCAGAAGTGTGTTCACCTTTTAGAACCACCTCCCTTTCTCCATTTGGGGGGAGTGTGGTTCTGAGGCTCTAATGAGGTGATGCCTGTAAACTATTTAGAATTCTGCTTGGGGCTCAATACTTTTGAGCCGTTATCATCATTCTTAGAGTGTCCTCTTGGCTAGGTCCTAGTTTTGTGGATTTTAGAGTGGGAGAAGCACTTCAAGTCAAGTGCTTTCTTTATTTTAGAGTCAGGGCACTGAAGCCCAGAGTCACTGAAGCTTTCTGAGCTTTGGTTATCACATCTGTGTACCTTAGAGCTGGGCTGTGAGGATCCTGAACTAATGGGTGGAAAAGCATTTACATGTGGATTTTTAAACATAAGCCATACAGTCGCTAACTGCCTTGCCTGTTTAAAGACTTATGTATGCTTTTACAAAGTAACTTTTTGGTTTTGACAATAGAAAAATCATCTTTTTCTCTCTTTTTAAACATTTAGATGTATCCAATTAAAACAGGCAATTGATGAAAATAAAAATGCTCTTCAAAAATTAAACAAAGTAAGTATTATGGTTAATCACATTAGAGAAAATCTGTTTTCACAAATATTTTCAAGGAGTGGGAATTCATTAGATGGGGAATTCTGGGTCTGCATCAGTGATGACGTCTGACTGCTCAGTGCTGACTCCCTGACAGATTTACTGAGTGTGAGCTTGGGAGCAGGAAAGCCCGGGCTCCAAATGCCAATAAAAGTGCAGCTTAATACACTCAGTCATCACTGAGGACTCAGAAAGTCCAGGAAGAAGCTATTTTTGTTTTTGCACTGTGTAAGTTTTATAGTTCAGGATTGTTTTAATTTGCACTACTTTTGGGGGAGAGGGAGGGAGGAGGGAGGGAGGGAGACATACACATACATACCACAATGGGTATAACCTGCCCTGAGGGAAAGTGGTAAAGAAGCCGTTTATGTCAAGGGCAGCTCTGATGTTAGTGACTCTACTGTGCAGAAACAGGGGGAACTAGAACTTACTCTTGGCAGTCAGTCCCTTCAGGAGTTCTTTGAACATGAACCTCAGCTTCAGGTAGGTGCTAGGGCCAGACACTCACAAGCATTTCAAGCAGAAGGCTGAAAGTCACATCCAAGTTATGACTGCAGCTGAGACAAGTGTCCCTGAGTGTCACTTCTGAATTTCTACAGTGACACAGAATTCTTTAATTTAGGAGGCAGACTGATGCTACATTTGAAAACTACCCTTGTTTCACCAATGAGGGAACAGGCTCCCAGAGGTGGCACAGTTTTCCCAAGAAGTGGCAGCACTGGGGTTGAAGCCTATCTTTACAACCAAAGCCACTCTCTGCCTGGAATGTAGCCCTCACCAAGTACACCTATAATTAGATGGTCTGTGATACCCAGCAAGGGAACACAACAAAAAACAAGTCATAATTTTGTTTTTCATTTGGTTTACTTTTCAACCTAATCATCTGCATTTCTTTTCATCTTATTTCTCTAAGGGAGACCTAGGCTCATTCTGAAATTTACTTTGTCTTCCACCACATAATGGAGTGTTTTCCCTTTTAAAAAATATATAGGAAACAGGTTTTTCTTTTTTTTTTAAGATTTTATTTATTTATTTTTAGAGAGGGAAGGGAGGGAGGGAGAGAGAGAGAGAGAAACATCAATGTGCGGTTGCTGGGGGTTATGGCCTGCAACCCAGGAATGTACCCTGGCTGGGAATCGAACCTGGGATACTTTAGTTCCCAGCCCGCGCTCAATCCACTGAGCTACGCCAGCCAGGGCTTGGAAACAGGTTTTTCAGTAAAATGGACTTATATTCTCTCCTAGGCTGATGAACCTGCACCTGTCGGAAACTATCATCAGAAAAAGGAGGAGGAGCTCAATCTCTTGGATAAGCTGACTCACCAACTGCAGGAACTTGCCATATCCATAAGTAGAGAAAATAGAACCAAGTATGCTTCTTCTCTTCTTTCTTTCAGATATTGTGTTGCCAGCAGTTTAAATGTTTCATTCAGGAGACAGACACATGGCCCTGACAGAATCAATCAGCATTGGTTTACTGAGTATGGTAGAAAGTGTGAGAGCCCAGGAGAGATGTAAAGGACCTCAGTCCTGGTTGGTTGATATTCAGTGACTTCAGACAGCTGTTTTGATTATTAGTCCAGATTTTATAGCTGTTTCTGGTTAGAAGGTTAAGTCTGATACCAGCTACTCAGTAGTGGAAATTCTAGAGTCCTTGCACCTAGATTCTTAACATTTTCCCAGGATATAGTATAAAAATAAGGAAACAGCATTGAAGAGTCTGAATAGTTGATATTTTCCTTTCTGCTTTCCACAAATTAGGTTTGTGTACGACATCAGTATTTCTTTCTATTTTGCAAAGGCAAAGTAGAAAATATCCATTCCAGCAGAAAAACAGTGTAATTTCTGCCTTTAGTTTTTAAGGAATGTTTGTGAAAGGAGGAAATATGTAAGTAGATGATCCAAATAATTTTCTTCTTACACATGAACATTGATATTAAATAACATCCTTATTTTCATACATTTTCGCACATTTGTCTATTTACCTTTTCAGATCTCTGCTTGTTTCCCTAACTGGGTGATAAATTACCTGAGAGGAAATTATCACAGTTATGACTTTCCTTCTTTACATCTCTCATGGGATCTTACACTCTCTGCTGTACATGTTTGTAGGGACACTACATAGCATTTAGTGTCCTTTAGTAGCCCTTTAGTAGTATGTTTGTGGGCCATTTTAAATGGCCAAATTACCAACAAAAAGCACAAGAGTTCAAAATCCATGGCTCTAAATACACTACAAAAACGATGCTTGTTTACAGTATGAGAGCTGGGGAAAAAAGGCAGAATGTCACCTTGTTCAACCTCAGCTGTGAGCATGACATTGGGCAACTCAGATTTTTTGCTGCTTTGCACACATTCATGAATGGCCACAAAAGAACTGTGAGTGTTGATTTGGGGGTTACAGATAAATTTTAGCGAGTAGATGAATTTACAAATATGAAATCTGCAAATAATGATGATTGATTCTAAGAAGAAGTAGATATGTGACAACAGAGGCACAGGAATAGCTAAAATGGCTAGCAGGGTACATGGAATGATATCTTAAAGTTCTTTCATTTTTGGTGTAATGTAATATTAATGCAGATTAGACTATGATAAGGGATGCATATTGTAATACCTATAGCAATTACTACCAAATAAGATAAAGAAGTAGCTTTAAAAAGCCTACATAAATGATAAAAAGAAATGGTAAAAATGACTCCATTTTAATTTTAGAAAAAATTTTTATTTTTCAATTACAGTTGACATACACTGTTATACTAGTTTTAGGTTTACACCCCAGTGATTAGACATTACACGTATTACTAAGTGATCATCCTGATAAATCTCATACCCTTTGACACCATACCTACTTATTAGAATATTATTGACTTTATTCCGTAAGCTGTACTTTATATCCCCACGACTATTCTTTAACAACCAATTTGTACTTCCTACTCCCTTCACCTTTTTCACCCTTCCCCCCAACTCTCCTCCCATCTGGCAACTGTCAAAATGTTCTCTGTATGAGTCTGTTTTTGTTCTGCTTGTTCATTTTGTTTTTAGATTCAATTGTTGATAGGTATGTGTTTATTGTCATTTTACTGTTCATATTTTTTATCTTTTTTCTTCTTAAAGAAGGCCCTTTAACATTTCATATAATAATGGTTTAGTGGTGATGAATTCCTTTAGCTTTTTCTTGTCTTGAAACTTCTTTATTTTTTTATTCTAAATGATAGCTTTGCTGGGTAGAGTAATCTTGGCTGTAGGTCTCTGCTTTTCATTACTTTGAATATTTCTTGCCAATCCCTTCTGGCCTTTTGAGTAATCAGCTGACAGTTTTATGGGAGCTCCCTTGTAGGTAACTAACTGTCTTTCTCTTGCTGCTTTTAAGATTCTCTTTTTGCCTTTAACCTTTGACATTTTAACTATGATATTTGTCTTTGGTGTGGGCCTCTTTAGGTTCATCTTGTTTTGGATTCTCTGCCCTTCCTAGACTTGTATGTCTATTTCCTTCACCAAGTTAGAGAAGTTTTCCATCATTATTTTTTCAACTAGGTTTTCAATTTCTTGTTCTCTCTCTTCTCCTCTGGCACCCCCATGATGTGAACACTGGTATGCTTGAAGTGGTCTCAGAGACTCCTTACACTTTCCTCATTTTTTTTTGGATTCTTTTCACTTTTTGCTGTTCTGATTCGGTGTTTTCTGCTTCCTTATCTTTCTGATTTCTGATTGGGTACTCTGCTTCATCTACTCCACTGTTGATTCCCTGTAATTCATTCTTCATTTCAGTTAATGTATTCTTCATTTGTGACTGGTTCATTTTTATTTTTTCTAGTTCCACTTTTATGTTTCCTATCTCTTTGTTGAAGTTCTCACTAAGTTCATTAATTCTTTCCCTAAGTTCATTGAGCATCCTTATAACCAGTATTTTGAACTCTGCATCTAGTAGATTGCGTGTCTCCATTTTGTTTAGGTTTTTTTTTTTTGTTTATTTATATTGGTTTAATCCATGTCAAATGTAGTTTACAAAGGGAAAGGACTAGTACCTTTGTATAGAATATATAGACATAGCATTACACCATGGGGCCAGGGGAGGGGCAGGGGGACAACACTTTTCCCTGGGAATAGCAGCTCTAATCCCAGGAATGGTTCTGAGCAGAAGGCTAGGCAGAGGAGCACTCTCATCCAACCCCAATGTCAGCCTCTGCTGTAGCTCAGTTCCCATTTCTGTGTCTCTTCCCTCCCTAATTCCTTATAAAGAACCCCAGGAGCTAAGACTAAGGAGAGGATCATGTCCCTTGAGGCATATATTTATATACCACTGAACACTGAGCATGTGGTAGAGGGAAGGGACACTATGGGAGAGGGAGAGGCAGGCACCCCAAGAGGTGGATGGGCTGAGCTTCCAGCCAGCCCTGAAGGAGGCACTGCTTCCAGGTATTCTTAAAAGGAGAAGAAAAATCATACAACCAAAGGGGAGAGGAGGGCTGAGGGTAAGAAGTTATCCCATTTATACACAACATTGTAAACATACATGGTCTGTATTACATGTGCTTCAGTCTGGTGTTTGCATGTCTGTCTGTCAGTCTGGGGGCAGGATCTCAGGAGTCTTGCCCTGCTACCCTCCTCACCTACATCTACCTGCCTGCCCTACCTGGGGAATAGAACCTGGATTAATTATGGCCCCCAGTTTTGATGGGAGCCAGCAGGCAGGGCCTGGGCCTTAGCCTCCACTCTAGCTCCAGAGACCTGAATGTGTGTGTATGTGTGCACACACATGTATGTATAAGGGATAGGGTCACATCACAGAGGCAGGCAGGTGAGGCTGCTCAAGACAAAGCCTGCCTGAGGTGGCTAGCTGACAAGTAGATTCTCTGCATCATTGAGGGCAGAGCTTCTTGGCACGCAGGATCCGTAGCCAGCATTCCTCACAGTGCACATGCCAACACTGGATAGACATTAGGGGCACTGAGTATTAGTCCATGCAGATGAGGCATTTGTAGTTGTCCCCATGGGTTAGCTGCCATTCAAGTTCACTGACCTGAGCCTTCAGGGCCTCAAATGTGGTCATAACTAAATCTTTGGTTATTTTATCAATATTGCTGTTCTTGCAGGTCTTCTGCATGGCCTTTTGCTTGCTGCTCTCCCTATTGCTGGTAGATGGCATCTCATCACTGGCCCATTTAGAGAACTCAGGTGTGATGTGTGTGCTAGGAGGGCCACCATTTAGGACTGCCCCAGAGTGCCTGTCTGTCACTGGCTTTACCAGGCTCCTTGCCTGTGCAGGGGATGATGTCAGCCTCTGTGTATTGTGGTTTCCCATACTTCAGAATGTCATCCCCATCCACGTCCAAGTCAGCATCACTGTCTGGATTTTCTTTGCTGCTGCACATGATGAACCCAGAGCCTTGGAAACTTCCAGGAGAGTGGTGGCCCATATCTGCCTCTGCCTGCACCACTCATACTCCTCAAATGGTTGTTGTTCTTCTCATGCTCGATGTCCACTGCATCATCCTCAGCCATGCAGGAGCCTTCTCTCCTAGAAAGGCAGCACTCCACATGCCTACTCATGTCCTGCTCTGATCCAACCAGGGGGCAGTTGCACAGGGGACATACCTGTCCTTTACCTTGCTGCCTCCATATCATTTTCCCAATGTGAGCATTTAGTCGGGTCTACTGGTTGGCTCACACTCGCAGGAAGGTTTCCTCCTTCCCTCTGGACTCTGCACTCTGCCAACCATTCCAGGCCCTCAGCATAGCTGCAGGGCACTGCTGTAATGGGACGACTCGCCACATCATCACAGCCCAGACTTCTGACACTCTGGGCCCCTTGAATGGCCAGCCAGTGAGGTCAGCATTGGGGGCAGATTCCCCCCTGCTTAGTTGTTTTTCTGGGATTTTGTTCTGTTCTTTTATTTAGGTCATGTTTCTTTGTCTCCTCATTTTGGCAGCCTCCCTGTGTTTGTTTGTTTGCACAGTCATACCTTAGTACTCATCAGCTTCAGAACCCGTCATATCCTGTTCTCATCTCATTTTGAAAAGAAAAAGTGTTTCAGCACTTGGCATTGCTTGGGACTCGTCGCACTTGCTAGAACTTGTATGAGTCATTATAGCCCCACAAGAGAAAATGCTTCATCGTTTGGTGCTCGTTGATTTTGGCACTTGTCATGAGTTCCGGAATGAATTAATGATGGGTACCGAGGTATCACTGTATTAGATAGAGCTGATATGCCTTCTGGGCTTTGTAGAATGGCCTTATATAGAAGGTATTCTGTAGGGCCCAATGGCACAATAGGTTCCTGATTACCCAAGGTGGGCCTTGAAGTACACCTACACCCCGTGTTGGCTGTATACACCCTCCTGTTGTAGTTGAGCCTTGGTTGCTATTGTCATGTCAATTAGGCTGATCAGCTGCAAGGGCTGGCTCTGACCATTGACCACCAACCTCTGTCCACTGTGGAGGATCAGCTGTGCAGGGGCACACGCCACAAAGCAAGACATGCTTCACTGGGATTCTGGTGCCCTCTGAGTGTGTTGCTTCAGACCCCTTGAGTGTGTTGCTTACAGAGGTAGTGGGGTGGTGCTTCAACAGTTTTGGTGGTCCAAAACTGTTCATGGGTGTTCTGGCTCTGGGACCTCTTGGGAGGTGCAGGCCAAAGTCAGCCATCACTTGTGTTCTACCTGGGACTACCCAGCATGAATTACAAAGTTATCTACAGAGGGTGCTACTTGTGCTGGGCTCAGAGGTGCTCAGGCAAGGCCAAGATGTGAACGAAGGCCAGCTGCTGCCAGTGCCAAGCATGGGGCCATTTAGTGAGAGGTATGGGGCATGCTGAGGCCAGATGCTGATTTTTTAAAAGATTTTAAGAAAATCTAAATCATGAGCCAAGACAGGTCAGTCATACGGAAATGCAACTGGAAACAGCTTGGGTGGGCCTGAAAGTTGGGTGGGGCAGGGCCTTGCAGAATCACCAGGGCAGGGCCAACAGTGTGAGCCAGGTTTATGGATACTCAGATATGATGCCAGCCTGCTGCTCTCTGTGGGGAGGGCTCATCAAAGGAACAATGGCTTCTGCCAGCAGTTCTGTCTGGGAGAAAGCTGCCCCCTCAGCTCTTGCCATGATGCCAGATAATTCAGCTCCTTCCCATCTGCCCCTGGTGACTTTCAAGCTGCTGAAGCTCAGAGGGAGTGAATCTGAGTACGTCCATGCATGAACCCTTTAATGCTGCAGCGACCATGGTCAAAAAATTACAGTGTAGATCACATGTATCTGAAAGAGACATTCATTACTAGTATGTGGTGATATGTGAAAAAAAATCCTGTAAATCTGTTTATTTATATAATAAAATACATGATTTTTATTTGCAGTTACAATCTAGAAATTATTAAACAAAGAAATATAAAAATATAGAATAAAAATTTTTCTTCTCAAATAACAGAAACATGGCTATTGTTAAAAATTACAACAAAAAATGTCTTTAACATTAATTAATCAAAAGCTTCAATAGTTGGCTTTACAAAATGTTTGTAACCATCATCGCAAACAATACTGCTGTGCTCAAGGAAGAAGTCTTTCCACAACACTTACAGGAATATTTTGATAAGCAACTCATTTTGGATGCATAGCACCTAACACATCTTTTTCTGCTTGTTGAGGGAGTCTCATCTATGTCGTCATTAGAATTTCCATTTGTGTTTGAAATTGATAAAGTTTCAGGTGTAAAGACTTATGCACACCCGGAGAGATTTCTGAATGCCTATTTATTTGTTCTGACACTGCATTATGAGATTTCTAATAAATATTCTGTGCTGATTTTTACATTGCTGTTCAGCACATGAATAGTCTGAGCCTTCATTCCTGCAGTATTCAAAATTGTGTAGAATATAACCATAGGCATCTTCTGGTGTTCCTGGCCATATTATATGTACCTGTCATTGGGTCCACAGTGTCAACTCCTGATTTCATTTGGTTGTAATAGTCTATTATATCAGGCTTTTGTGAATCTAAATTTATGGTGTCATAGAAATGCATACTAGAAACAAAAATTAAAATTTTCCCTTTTTGGGTATATGAGATACAAGTGTGCAATCTGCACTGAAAGGAAATAAGTTGGATTCTTTCAGCCTGTTTTTTGAAGACACAAATTCAGGGGGTAGTTGGGATTCATTCTTACAAACAGCACCTATATATGAAAGTTGCTTCTCTTTCAAGTCAGAGATAAGATTTATATCTGAACCAGTTATCTGCTGTACTCTTATGACTTGATGAGTACATGGGTTCTTCAATTCTCTTGATTACGTCTGCAGTTTTATTACTAATCAGGTAAGGACCTTCAGGCTGCTTACCAGCATTTATTTCAAGATTTCCTGTGTAATGTACTTTTGAATTGACCATAGCAAAAATTTTTATGCCATATTTATTGGGCTTGGATGGAATATGTTGTCTAAACCCACATTTGCCTCTAAATCCAGGTAACATTTCATCTGTTGTTAATTCTGTCACATAGGGTAATATAATTTACAATTTTCTACAAATGCTGAGAAAATGTCTTTTACAGCCACTAATTTGTCCACTTTCAAGTGTTCTAAGTGGGTCAGTTTGTCGTCAAACCTGACACAATTATGAATAAACCTAAATGTCGGTACAGATATCATAAGTCTAAGAAGTTCAATCCCACTGCCATCTGTAGCCCATGAATCCTGCAAATTTAGCCAATTGCTGCAATGTAAACTAGCTAGATATGAGAGGCCTAAAAATGCTTTCAATCTGGTTTTGTCTATTTAGCATTTCTTTCTCATGAAAACCAGCTTCATATACAATCAATGTATTTATTTGTATATAATAAGATTAGATCTTATTTTATTTTGTGATAAAGCAGTTCAAGTTTCAAGTACTATCTTGGCATTTTTTGCATTTGGCTGAACTAATGGAAGTTGACACAAAATATTCTGTGGCTGTTTTCTAATTTGTCTTCTTAACTGGATTTTTCCTCCATTCTTTATGCTTTCCAAAAAATACTGTTCATTCATGTCTAACTTATCTTTACTTTCTTCATTAGAAATATCTTACTCAGTATCCAAATCTTCTGAATGAACTTCCATATAATCGTCTTCTAAATCACTTTCATTTTCACATTTTACTCTATCATTCTCATCATCGGACTCAAGTAGCATTTGCTGCAGTTCTTCAACATCTCTTGGATTATTGAATTGATATATTTTTCCTATTTTCAATAGGAAATCAAAAAACAAACACCACAACACCTACTTCAAAGTTCATGAAAACCAACAAACAAACAACTATACCAATACTGACTTGGAGTTTGCAGTATCTCAAGTACAATTCACTGTAGAATATCACACATCTTTATGAAACACACGTTATAACCAAACTGACGACTTAAACATTATGGGTTAACATTAGTCAAGTACAAATGCATAGCTAGTCATGACCTTGAACCTATGCACCTGATATATGTAGTAATATTTAAGAAAAGAGTTTGTATCTCTCAGATCAGCTGTGACCTTTCCAGGGTTAGGAGGAACTGCCTGGGACTCCAGAAGCCTTCTGTCTCCCTTAGCCTCAATCCTTGCTGGTTTCTACAGCCAGAAGTTATGGGGACTTCTCTTCCTGCCACTGGGCTGGAGTGCATGGTGTGGGGCTTGGACCCCTCATTCCTTAGGGGGACCTCCATAGCCAAGATGTCCCTTCCAGTTTTTATCTGCCACACACATGGGTGGGTCCAGTCTGTTCTGCGTCTCTTCCCCTCCTACCAGTCTCTATGTGGCTTTTTTTTTTTTTAATTCCCTAGTTGTAGGACTTCCATTTAACCAGATTTCAGGTGGTTCTGAGTGGTGATTCTGCAGTTTAGTAGTAATTTTGATGTGATTGTGGGAGGAGACAAGTACCATATTTACCTATGCTGCCATCTGACCAGAAGCCAAAATGACTCTGTTTTAAAGATAAGCTTCAGTAATGTAAGCTGTAGGAGAGCAAAGACCTTTTTTGTTTTTGTATCCTAAGTGCATCATGTCTGTCACACCGTTGGTGTCCTGTAAATGATTGATGACTTTGCTGAGTGTTGAATGACAAAGCTGACAGAGATTTAGTGACTTATGCCAGCCAGTATTATTTGAACTCTTCTCTCTTCCCTCACCTTCCGTTTTACATCCTTCTATCTTTCCAAAATGTCATGTGTCACTCTTCACAGCCATCTTCCCTTTAGCACTTCCTCCAGTCTGTTCCCCATATTGTAGTCATCTTTCTAAGTGCAGAGTAGATCCATCCCTTCCCTTACTTCTTTCTTAGGGAGTACCTTAGAGATGATGCTCAGTGGGCTCCAGAATGGAGAGCTCCAGGATGTGAAGAACTCACCTCTTCATAGCCTCACCTTTTTCTTTTTCTCAAGGCTTGTCCTACCATTCATGACCTCCTTGAGGTTTCCTGATCTTGAGCCTCCTTTTTCTACTCCCTTCCCCGCCTTGCTACTTCCTTTTGCCTGATTAACTTCAAGTCATCTATCAAGACCTAATTCCAAGTCTTTCCCGATCCCCACCCCTGCAGTCTAGGTTAGGTCCCTCTTGTGTTAGGTCCCTTAGTATTCTGTGTATACTTCCATTCTAGTACCTATTAAACTTTAGCATAATTATCCATTTTCTAGATTCTCATTGTAAACTCCTTGAGGACAGAGAATTGTGTCTGTTTTACCTTTGTAGCCATGGTGTCTGACATGGACCATTGTCATCAGAGCTGACTCTTATTAAAAGCTTGCAATGGGCAGATACTGTTCCAAAAATACTGGGAGTCAGTAAATCATTTAATCTTGAGGCAGTGCTATTATTTATCTCCACTTTACCACTGAGAAATGGAGAGCTTAAAAGAAGCCTGTAACTCATAGTTATTACTCAATGAGGCAGGGTAGAGCCAGTTTTAACTCAGAACCTGTATACTAAGCACTGTGTAGCAATGCTCAAGTAGCATTTGCAGAGTGTGTGAATCCAAGGCTAGTGTACAAGTCTCTTGGCCTCTAGTCCAGCATATGCCCTACCCTGTCACCTTCCTCAGATATGATCCCTTCACTACTCAGTCCCTCAAGTCCCATATTCTTAGCTAGATGGTATGAACCATTAGCTGTGCTTTCCCCTTATTTCCTTTATTTGCCAGTTCCAAATACAGGCTAGTTCTTTTATATACATATATATAAGGGGATATACATATACATATATGTATACATATATATACTTTATATACATATATATGTTATACTTGTGCTTATTATGTGTTATTTAATGTGACCCTTGTCATAGAATTATTTTTTTGCAGAATTGAGGCACTTACTGAAAGAGAGGAAGATGATGATTTTGCTGAAGAAGATGAAGAAGATAACGATGATGATGAAGAGAGTGAAGAAAGTGATGAGGAGGAAGAAGAAATGGGAGAGGAAGAGAAACAAGAAAATGAATACATTGCTGTTGGAGATTTTACTGCTCAGCAGACTGGGGATCTTACATTTAAGGCAGGTAGAAACAAGACCAGAACTTAACCTCAGAATCAGTTTGCATATCTAACAGAATAAGGAAACTCTTATCTGTAAACCTATGTTACATATTCCTGATAATAAGCTTTGGAACACTCAACCTGTTTAAATAAGAAATAGTAATGATTTAATAAGAAGAGTCATGAAATTTTTACCAAATTTACATGGTAGTAAAATGGTAAAAGAACAATACTCTTCTACTTATTCATTTCCATAAATATTATTTTTCAATTACAGTTTATATTCAATATTATTTTGTATTTTTAAAATTAATTAATTTTTAGAGAGGGGAAGGGAGGGAGATAGAGAGGGAAAGAAACATCAGTTTGTGGTTGCCTCTCCCATGCCCCCCACTGGGGACCTGGCCTGCAACCCAGGCTTGTGCCCTGACTGAGAATCGAATGGGCAACACCTTGGTTTGCAGGCTGGCACTCAATCTACTGAGCCACAGCAGCCAGGGCTATTTTGTATTGAGATGTATAGCATAGTGATTAGACAATCATATACTTTACAAAGTGGCCAGGGCTCCATGACTATTTTGTAACTGCCACTTTATACTTCTTTATCCCTTTGCCTTTTTCACCCAGTCCCCCCAAATCCCTCCCCTCTTGAAACCATCAGTCTGTTCCCTGTGTGTATGAATCTATTTCAGTTTTGTTTTATTTATTTTGTTCTTTAGATTCCACCTGTAAGTGAAAACATATGTTATTTGTCTTTCTCTTACTGGCTTATTTCGCTTAGCATAATACCTTCTATCCATGCTATTGCAAATAGTAAGATTTTGTTCTTTTTTATGGCTGAGGATTGTTCCATTGAATACATGTATAACAACTTTTTTATCCATTCATCTTTTGATGGGCACTTGGGTTGCTTTCATATCTTGGCTGTTGTAAATAATGCTGCAATGAACATAAAGGTGCATATATTGTTTTGAATTAGTATTTTGGATTTTTTATACATATTCCCAGAAGTGGAATCACTGGGTCATAAGGAAGTTAAATTCTTAATTTTTTGAGGACCCTCCATCTGTTTTCCATAGTGGCTGTACCAATCTGCATTCCCACCAATAGTGTACAAGGGTTCCCATTTCTCCACATTCTCACCAACACTTGTTATTTGTGGATTTATTGATGACAGCCATTCTGACAGGTGTGAGGTGATATCTCATTGTAATGTTAATTTGCTTTTCTCTGATGATTAATGATATTGAGTATCTTTTCATATGTTCATTGGCCATCTGTATGTCTTCTTTGGAGAAGTGTCTATTCAGGTCCTCTGCCCATTTTTTAATATGATTGTTTTATTGGTGTTGAGTTGTATGAGTTCTTTATAAATTTTGAATGTTAACCCCTTATCAGATGTACCATTGGCAGTTATCTTCTCCTATTCAAAGGTTGTCTTTTCCTTTCATTGATGGTTTCTTTTGCTGTGAAAAAACTTTCAGTTTTATGTAGGCCCATATGTTTATTTTTTCTTTTGTTTTCCTTGCTCGAGGAGATGTAGCAGAAAAAATATTGCTACGAGCAATGTCAGAGATTTTACTGCCTATGTTTTTTTCTAGGAGGTTCTGGTTTCAAGTCTTACATTTAAACCTTTAATCCATTTTGAGTTTATCCTTGTGTTTGGTGTAAGAAGGTGGGCTAGTTTTCTTTTTTTTTTTAATGTAGCAGTCTAGTTTTCCCAACACCACTTATTGAATATACTGTCTTCACCCTATTGTATGTTCTTGCCTCCTTTGTCATATATTAATTGACCACATAGTCATGGCTTTATTTCTGAGCTCTCTACTCTGCCCCATTGATCTGTGTGTCTGTTTTTATAGCAGTACCATGCTGTTTTTGATTGCTATAGCTTTATAGTACAGCTTATATCAGGTATCTCTGTTTTTCTTCCTTAAGATGGCTATGGGTATTTGGGGTCTTTTACACTTCCATATTAATATTGGGATTATTTTTTCCAGTTCTGTGAAAAACTCCATTGGCATTTTGATTGGGATTGCATTGAATCTATAGATTGCTTTTGGGTAGTATGGATATTTTAATGATGTTAATTCTTCCTATCCATGAGTACAGTATATACTTGTACTTATTTGCATCTTCTTTAATTTCTTAAATTAAAATATATATATATTGATGTTAGAGAGAGGAAGGGGGAGGGAGGAATGGGGGAATCGGAGAAAGAGAGAGAGAAAGAGAGAGAGAGAGAGAGAAACATTAATTTGTTGTCTCACTTATTTATGCATTCATTGGTTGATTCTTATATGTGCCCTGATCAGGAATTAAACCCTCAACCTTGGCATATTGGGACAGTGTTCTAACCAACTGAGCTACCTGGCCAGGGCTCTTCTTCATTTTCTTTCTTCAGTGTCTTATAATTTTCTGAGTACAGGCCTTTTGTCTCCTTGGTTAAATTTTTTCCTAGGTATTTTTTGATGCAATTATGAATGGGATTGTTTTCTTAGTTTTCTCTTTCTGATAGTTCATTATTGGTGTATAAAAATACAACTGATTTTTGAATTTTTTTGTACTGTGGTACTTTACTGCATTCATTTATCAGTTCTAGTAATTTTTTGGTGGAGTCTTTTGGTTTTTTTGTGTACACTATCATGTCATCTGCAGATAATGTCAGTTTTCCTTCTTCCTTTCCAATTTGGGTGCCTTTTATTTCTTCTTCTTGTGTGATTTCTGTGGCTAGGACTTCCAGTACTATGTTGAATAAGAGTGGTAAAAGTGGAATCCTTGCCTTGTTTCCTATCTTAATGGAAATGCTTTTAGCTTTTCCCCATTGAGTGATGTTATTTGTGGGTTTGTCATATATGGCCTTTATTATGTTGAGGTACTTTCCCTCTTCCCATTTTTCTGAGAGTTTTTATTGTAAATAGGTGTTAGATTTTGTCAGTGCTTTTTTGCATTTATTGATGTCATACAATTTTTATCCTTCATTATATTTTTAAAAAATAGTTTTAATATTCACAATTCTTATTTTAGGGGTAAAATTGAATTTAAAAATCTTTTTACTTTGTTTTGCTTTAAGAAAGGGGAAATTCTCCATATAATTGAAAGAAACCCTGATGGTTGGTGGATGGGTAAGAATGCCGGAGGAAACAAAGGTCTCGTTCCCAGAACCTACTTGGAGGTTAGTGTTTGTTGTTTATTTTTTCCTTTTCCTTCTTCAACTTCTGTTCATTTTTCAAAAAAAAATTAAGCTGTATTTTTGGATTAACTGACTAGTGAATGACTTGAGGTATAGAATTTGCTTTAATTTTTGAGGGGAAGGGCTTGGGGAAAATACTGTATGTTAATAGTCCTGGGACCTGTGATTACTGTCATCCAGGTAAGCCCTAGAATGTTATGTCACAATGAATATGCTTGGTGGATTGGTACTGAACATAAAAATTAGTAAGTGTTTATTATTTGTTATAAAACAAAAGTACAGTTAACTTTGTGTTAACTTCTACAAATATGTGATCCTGTAATAGGATATGAACATACTATACATTCATGTTTGTAATTTATTGTTTTTTGTATTCTATGATACAGCATGGTCATTTTCTGTGCCAACATACATAATCAATCTGTCTGGATCAGTGCTGGCCAATAGATCTCTAATACAAACAACACATGTAATTTAAAATTTTCTAGTAACCACACTGAGATGTCTTTTTTTCTGACACTACTTCTAATACCAACTACGTGGGGTTTTTTCCTGATAACAAATATGTGTTGTTTTCCACACCAGTTGTCTAAAACCAACCAGGTTTCCAATAGTTCAATTCAATTGTGACACTAACTCCCAGAGGTAGTGCAGACCCCTTAAGTTACAAGCTCAATCCTACAAACTGCCCTACTTTAGATACCAGTCACAACTCCCAAGGACCACCTGTATTTGTAAGTGACCAGCCATAGCAAGATACAGGAGTTCCTACACCCCTCCTCAGGTTCAATAATTTGCTAGAGGAACTCACAGAGTCCAGTAAAACACCTTACTTGTGTCTATCATGTTATTATGAAAGACCCGACTCAGGAAGAGCCACATGGAATAGGTACACAGGGAGAGGTACTGAGAGATGGAGGGAGTGGGACCTGGGTCTTCCACTCTTGCTCTGGGGCCGTCCTACCAGCACTTCAAAGTGGTCACCAGACTGGAAGCTCCTTAAACCCTGTTGTTTTTGGAGTTTTTATGGAGGTTTTACTACATAGGTATGAGATTAAATTCTTGACCATTGGCGATTGAGTTTAATTCCAGCTTTTTTCCCCTCCCTGAAGGTGGGGGGAGGGTGTGATAAAAGTTCCTGTGCTTTACCCAATTAAAAAATGGGCAAAGGACCTGAATAAACACTCTCCAAAGAGGACATACAGATGACCAACAGACATATGAAAAGATGCTCAATGTCACTAATCATCAGAGAAATGCAAATTAAAACCACAATGAGATATTATCTCACACCTGTCAGAATGGCCATCATCAATAAATCAACAAACAACAATTGCTGGCAAGGATCTGGAGAAAGGGGAATCCTAGTGCACTGTTGGTTGGAATGGAGATTGATGCAGCAACTGAGGAAAGCAGTATGGAGAGACCTCAAAAAATTAAAAATGGATCTGCCTTTTAACCTAGCAATCCTACTTCTGGGAATATATCCAAAGGAACCAAAAACATTAGTTTGAAAGAATATAAGCACCCCTATGTTCACTGCAGTGTTACCAAGATATGAGAGCAGCCCAAGTATCCAAAAGTAGATGAATGGATAAACAACTATGGGACATTTACACAATGGAATACTACTTGGCTATAAAAAAAGAGGAAAATGTTACCCTTTGCAACAGTGTAGGTGGACCTGGAGAACATTATGCTAAGTGAAATAAACCAGTAAGAGAAAGACAAATAGCATAATTTCATTCATATGTGGAATCTAATGAACAAACTGAACTAACAAGCAAAACAGAGACAGACTCACAGATAGAGAGCAGGCTGACAGCTGTGGGAGTGGAGGGTTGGGGGTGGAGGGATTGAGCCAAAAGAAAAAAGGACCCATGGACAACTGAGTGGTAACTGCAGGAGGTGAGGGGTATAAGGGGAATAAATGGTAAAAAAAATACAGTAATAAAAAATAAAAAATAAATAATAAAGCAGTCTTACAAGGTATTTGAAGCCCCTCCACACCCCTAAACAAAAAGAAATTCCCAAACCTTTAATCACACGGTTGATTTTTAAGGCAACCAGCGTCTCACCACCTGATTAGCCTAACCTCAAGTGTGGTTGAAAGGGCTTGTTGTGAAGAAAAAAAGACACTCCTGTTACTCAGGAAATTCCAAGAGGTTTAAGACTGTTGCCAAGAACTGGGAATAAAGACCAAATGTATATTTTCCATTATACCACACATTTTTAAAAAGTAAAAAGAAATGAGTGACAATTTAATAATATATTTTACATTATTCAATATATCAAAAATATTGTCATTTCAACATATAATTAATGCTAAAAATACTTTACTTTTTATACTACATCTTTAAATTCCAATATGTATTTTACACTTAAATGGCACATCTCAATTTGAAGGAATCGCATTTCAAGTGTCAGCAGTCACGGGTGGCAAGTAGCTGCCATACTGCATAGTCCAGGTCTAGATCATCTGTATCAATGGTAGAACAGTACTCCAGCTTCATAGAGATGGACTTTTAGGTTGTTTCCAACTTATAATAGCTACCAATTATGTGGCAGAGAAACTATGATTAGTTTCCACTCCGAGTTACAAGAGATCCTCAGATAGTGGCTTAAATAAGGTAGAAGCACATTTCTGTCACAGAAGGCAGAAGTGTGGAGGTAGCAGTCAAAGGGTGCTGAGGCCCTGTCTAATGTTTCACTCTGTGGTTAGGTGGGGGACAGCTCTTCCAGGAGTATCTCTGTAGTTTAAGTTCGCTGCTAGACCTTTAAATGATTCCAAGCAGCAAAAGAGAAGGAAAGGAGAACATGAAGTCAAAAGGTCTGAGCTATCATCTTTTTTGAAACCATTTCCTGGAAGTTACACAAAAAACTTCCAATTATACCTTGATCAGAATTTAGTTCTTTTTGGTCTGGAGTGCCTGGAGCAGAGGCAAGGGCATAGGCAGAGGTGGAGGTGCTTGTAAAGATGCTACTGCCAGAGTGTGAAATTTCTCAAACTTGAAATTAATAAAGGATATAAGATCCAGATATCTAAGATGGCGGCCTAGGTTAACATGGCTTGCCTCGTCACACAAACACATCAGAATTACAACTAAACTACAGAACAACCATCACTCAGGACTTGCAGAAATCAAGCTGAATGGAGGTCCTACAACCATGGAACTAAAGAAGAAACCATATCCATCCAGACTGGCAGGAGGGGCAGACATGCAGAGATGTGGATTGGGCTGGTCTCACACCCATGTGTGGCAGATAAAAATCATGTGGTAGATAAAAATTGTGAGAGATATCTCAGGAGTGAGGGGTCCCAGCCCCACATGAGGCCACTCAGCCCAGGGTTTCAGTGCCTGGAAGAAAAGTTCCTGTGGTTCTGGCGGTAAAAACCAGTGTAGATTATGTCAGTAGAAGTAACTGCTGGAGGCAGTTCCTCTTAAAGGGCCTGTGCACAGACTTACTCAGACTCACTCCCACTGAGCTCCAGCACCTGGGCGGCAGCTTAAAAGGTACCAGTGGCATACAGGGAGGAACTGAAGTGTCTGGCATCAGGGTGAGAGCTGAGGGCCAGCTTTCTCCAAGACAGAACTGCTGGCAGAGGTTGTTGCTCCTGTTTGAGTTCTCCCCCTAAAGAGCCACAGAGTATGGCAGGCACCATATCAGAGACTCCATCAACTTGGTTCACACCGTTTGTGTTGCCCTGGTGATTTCCTAAGTCTCTACCCCACCCAACTGACCTGCCCACCTAAGTGCTTAACAGTGCCTTTTCCATACAAGTGACTTGTCTTGACACATGATTCTGATCTTCCTGAATCCTCTCAAAACAAGCAGCAGCTGGTGTTGGTTCACAGCCTATCCTTGCTAGGGTACCTCCAAGCTCAGCACAAGAAGCAGCCAGTTGCTGATTGCTTTATAGCTTATGCCAAGTGGCCCAAGACAGAGCACAAGGGGCACCAGAGTCCAGCTGAAGTGAGTCCTGCTGAATTAAGCCCTGTTCTGTGGGGTGAGACCATGCACAACTGATCCTCCACAGATGGTTGAGGTTGGTGGTCAGTGGTCACAGCCAGTTCTTGTATGCATTTCATTGGCCTGGGTAAATCACTCCCATTGATCTGCCAACAGATATCAAAGCTCAACTATAACAGGAGTGTGTACTAAACTCACACAGAAGGCTCACCTCAACTACCTAGCTTGGGTGATAGAGGAGGCTGTGCCACTGGATCCCTATAGGACACCTACTACATTAGGCAACACTACCAAGACAGGAAGTCATAGCAGCTCTATTGGATATGTAGAAACAGATACAGAGAGGCTGCCAAAATGAGGAGACAAAGAAGGATAACCCAAATGAAAGAAGAGAACAAAATTCCAGAAAAAGAACTGAAAATGGAGATAAGCAATCTCCATCAGATGCAGAGTTCAAAACACTGGTTATAAGTATGCTCAAGGAACTTATTGAGGACCTCAGCAGCATAAAAAACGTCTAGTCACAAGTGAAGGAAATACTAATTGAAATAAGGAACAATTTACAGGGAATCAACAGTAGAGTGGTTGAAGCTGAGAATGAAATCAATGACTTGGAACATAAGGAACCAAAAAACAACTAATTAGAAAAACAAGAAGAAATAAGAATCCCCCCAAATAAGGATAGTGTAAGGAGCTTCTGGGGCTACTTCACATGTATCGACATTTGCATCAGGGTGGTGCTGGAAGGAGGAGAGAAAGAGCAAGAAATTGGAAGTCTGTTTGAAAAAATAATGACAGAAAACTTCTTTAACTTGGTGGAGGCAACAGACATTCAAGTCTAGGAAATGCAGAGAGTCCCAACAGGATGAACCCAAAGAGACCCACACCAAGACACATCATCATTAAAATGCCAAAGGTTAAAGATAAAGAGGGCATCTTAAAAGCAGCAAGAGAGCCCTGGCTGGTGTGGCTCAGTGGATTAAGTGCCAGCCTGCTTACTGAGGGGTTGCTGGTTTGCACTCCCCCAGTTGGAGGTGTGTAAGAGGCAACTGACCAATGTATCTCTCGCACATGGATGTTTCTCTCCCTCAAAAAGAAATAAATTTAAAAAGAAATTTTTTTTTAAAGCAGCAAGAGAAAAGCTGGTAGTTTCCCACAAGGGAGTTCCCCTAAGACTGTCAGCTGATTTCTCAAAAGAAACTTTGTAGTCTAGAAAGGGACTGGTAAGGAGTATTTGAAGTAATGAAAAGCAAAGACCTACAACCAAGATTGCTCTATTCAGCAAAGCTTTCATTTTGAAACAAAGGGCAGATAAAGACCTTCCCAGAGAAGGAAAAGCTAAAAGAGTTCATCATCACCAAACCATTATTATATGAAATGTTAAAGGGACTTATTTAAGAAAAAGAAGACCAAAACTACAAACAGTAAAATGGCAATAATTACATATCCATCAACAATTGAATCTAAAAAACAAATTAAGCAAACAGCAGAATGGAAACAGAATCACAGATATAGAGAATGCTGATGGCAGCCAGGTGGGAGGAGGATGGGGGGAATGGGTGAAAAGGTGAAGGGTTCAAGAAGCACAAATTGGTAGTTGCAGAATAGCCATGGGGATGTAAAGTACAGTATAGAAAATGGTGAAGCCATAGAACTTATACACATGACCCATGGACATGAACAGAAGTGTGGGGATTGCCTCAGTGCCTGGGGGGTGGTTGGTGGAGAGGGCCAAAGGGGAAAAAATTGGGACAACTGTAATAGCATAATCAATAAAATATAATTTACAAAAAGAATTTAGTTCTTTTCAACAACTAGTTGCAAAGAGGGATTGGAAACTAATCTTTTTGCCAGCTCCTTGCTAAAATGAAGGATTCTGTTAGAAAAGAAGAGGTGGAGATTCAGCAGTAGACAACATTCGACCTCTGTAATGTCTGTAATTGGAAAGGACATCCCCATCTCAGGATTATTTTCTTCTAATGCTTTTAGAGTTCTTTTATTTCTACCTTTACTTCTTTGTTTTTATTTGAGTATATTCCATCTGGAATTAATTTTGATTAAACTTGCTTTCAACCTCTATCCTTGTATTTTATTCAAACTGAAGTGATCAACCATGTGTTGAAATCTTTTCCCCACTGATTTTTTAAAAAAGATTTTATTTATTTTTAATTTTAGAGAGTGGAGAAGGGAGAGAGGAGAGGGAGAGACATCAATGTGATGCTTCTTGTACGTGCCCCAACTGGGGACTAAATCCGAAACCCAGGCATGTGCCCTGACCAGGAATCAATCAAAGACCTTTTGGTTTGCGGGATGACTCTCTAACCAACTGAGCCATGCTGGTCAGGGTTCCCACTGAGTTTTGATATGCCCATCATGTAAATTTCTGTCTATACTTGAGTCTCTCTGAAAGTCTTTTTATTGGTTTATTTTTGCATTACATGCAAAAACTCCTCATATTTCAATCACTTTTCAGCCCTGTCATAAAGAAGGCCCAGGATCAAGTGAAGAAGGCAGTGAAGGAGACGTGGCTTTGAGGGATGAGACAGCAGAAGGAACAGAAGTTAAACAAAGGTACAAAGGCCTGAGGGAACATCAAAGTCAAATAAATAAAAGGTTTAGGGAACTTTGTTTATTTTTAACATTGTACATCAAGAATTTTTTGCAGTGAAGACAACTTGCAGTTTGTGACCTGCATTTGCTTGTCATATAACTTTTTGCTTAAAGAGCATCACTGCTTTAATTTTGTGATTATTCTGTCTTGGTTTCATCTGAATACTGTTAGGTTTTCAGAACTTACTTACAGTTATGTGCTTTGTTCTTTGATTAATGAAGTTCCCTAACCAGGTGAATAGGCATAACCTGTCTGTGCACTCACCTTGCTTTTTTCTCTCCCAGAACTGATTCTCATTGGAGTACTGTTCGAAAAGCTCTCTCAGAGGTTGGTATCTCCTCTCTTGTCAATGATGTCATGCTTTGTTACCTAAGAGTTCTGCTAGAGTTCAGATTCAAAACCAGATAGGGACTTTGGAAGATAGCATTGGATCTTAGCATAGGGTACAGTGCATAGAATGTCCAGAGCACAAAACATGCATTTTTGGCTTAGTATGCCTGTGCTCCAAGTAGTATTTCCCATCAGGTCCTTTCTCTAAGAAGAGTGGAGTTAAGGGCTTGGTAATATCTCTCACTGATTCTACCTGAATTTTCTATCACTTGGGTAAAGACTGCTGTTAAAGTTAATTAATATGAAAAATTCCAGAAATCTCAAAAAAGTAAGAAATTATTCATAATCCCAACATTTAAAAAATATGCAACAAAATGAAATTTACTCCCTGCATAAGTAACCACCATTAACAGTTTGGTAACTATTTTTCTGACTTTTTATCCTGGGGCTCATGAGTATGTGTGTGAGTGTGGTGTGTGTGTATGTATATATATATACCAGAAGGTATATATGAAGCATTGTACACAGGACAGTGATGCCTCAGTCCCCTTCAAAGCAGGCACCTTGGGACCTCACACAATTCTCCCAGTTGCCATCAGCTGCCTGTTATATTTTCCTGAATCTCAGCAATGTCTGAAATCTCTGCCCTTTCAAAGGTGATTTTAGTTTTGTAAAAAGCCAGTAGTTGCAAGGTGCCAAATCTGGGCTCTAGAGGGTCTGAGTCACCTTGGTGATTTGATGTTTCACCAAAAAACTTCACTAGACGTGATGTGTGATCAGGCAAGTTGTCATGATGAAGCTGCTAATTGCCAGTTGCCCGTAGCTGCAGCCTTCTGAATCACCTGACTAGTTTCCACAGAGGAATGTTCAAGTTTAACACAAAATTTGTTGCTGTACTCGCTCAGTCATTTTGAATGTGACAGCCACACAGTACACATGCTCAATGGCATCTACCACCCCCACTGACTAGTATAGTGAAGTCATCATTATTCATGCATGTTTACACATGTGCATTCCAGTCCACTGTCCTTACCTGCCACGTTACATTTGACATCATGCAAACCCTTCTTGTTATGTTAACAATGTCTGGACTTTTTCTGGACAGACCACACACATAACATATGTATACAAAAATCCATTAAATCATCAGTACCTATCAATTCACAATATTAACTCATCTGTTACATGACAGTATACTGTGGCTTGGGACAGGAGGAGGGACATTTGATGAGGGACGCGCAGGAGCACAGAGCTCTGCTCACTGGGCATGGCTTGGAGCTTAGGTCCTTGGGAGATGCCAGGATTCAGTGATGGCCTCCACTTAGGAATTTGGGGTTAAATTGCTGTGTTAGTCCACTAACATCTGTACATTTGTGTTTTCCTTTTTTGGGTTGCAATTGCTATAGTGATAAAGACAATAGGTGAGGGAAACATGAATAAAAACAGCAAATCAATTTGTTTTTAGCATGTTCAGCAGATCAACACTGTTGATGTGTTGACCACGATGGGAGCCATTCCTGCCGGGTTCAGGCCTTCCACGCTCTTCCAGCTTCTGGAGGAAGGTAACAGGTGTCTGCAGCCACCACAGACCTTTAGTTAAACAGTCAAGCTTTACATCTGATTTCTTTGTTTTAGACAAAACAAGTTGTTTAAAAAGATGTTGAACCTCACATCTCATTGGTGCTTATCTTTTCCTCGTCTTTCCTGTGAGAGTGGAGGAAGGACCCCTGATCCTGTCACAGGCCAGCCTGTCTTCCTGTGCTCTGGGCTCTAGCGCATTTTCTTTGTTTCAAAGACTTGACTCTTACTTGCCAGCCTTTTCTGTATCTTCAGCCTGTCCCTGCTCCCATTGTTTCTTCTTCCCTCATCAGTAGTACTGACATGCCTAAGCCCTCCTTCCTCTGAGAACCAGCTTCTCCAGCCCTGTCTGTTTCTAGGTGAAGCTTCCCTTTCCCTTTTCCAAAGACTTACCTTCATTGAGTATTTTTCTGTTTTCTTACTCATTCTTGGATTTCCCTGTACTTGACAACATTTGTCCATAAACCTATTTTAAAGAAGAGTGATGATGGGGGAAGCTGCTCTGATACCCTGAGTTGTGGACTTATCTGTGGAAAGGCTGCTTTGAGGTTCCTCTGCTGGGAAGCTCTTCTTGGCTCCCTTGAAGGCCTGCTCCTCCTCTTCCTTTGGGTCTTGGTAAATTCCACCTACCTATAGACATTTTTCCTTGAGTAATGTAGGTTCCCTCTATTCCTGTCCACCTGAGTACCCTTTGTGGTTCTAAGTCAGCTTATAATTATCTTACTTACTCTTGTGTCTACTTGTTTTTTAAATGATACCCCACTCAGTCATAAATGAAGGAGGTCAGGGCTGTATTTCTCAGATCACATTTGTATTTCCAGGTCCTGGGGTAGTACCTCTGAGTAGTTCCTCTACTTTGAGTTCCACAGAGTAGGAACTCAAAGATGATTTTGCAAATGAATATATGATTTAGTAATAAGTATTTTTCATGACTAAGGTATGGGAGAACAGTATAAAAATGGTTTTCTGTTAAGTAAAATTAGTAATTATATAGTTTTCTAATTTTCTAAAAAGTGTTTATAGATTTTCTGCATTTTACAAAAATATTTGAATGGATCATCTTCATTATAGGCCATGTTATTGATCTAAGAGCCTTTTGGGTCAGTCTTTCTTTTTTTAAAAAGGTTTTATTTATTTATTTTTTAGAGAGGGGGAAGGAAGGGAAAAGGGAGGGAGAGAAAAATCAATGTGTGGTTGCCTTTCATGTGGCCCCCACTGGGGACCTGGCCTGCAACCCAGGCATGTGCCCTGACTGGGTATTGAACTGGTAACCCTTTGGTTCACAGCCCATGCTCAATCCACTGAGCTACAACAGCCAGAGCACTTTTGGGTCTTTCTTAAAGCTGTTTGGAGATCAGCTCTTTCATGCTTCTATCTTTGTGTTTCCCCTGTTGTTTTTGTGTGTAAATCTCTGTTGGTGCCTCTGTCTTAGGAAGTTTATTCCCAGGAAGCTTCCAGCTTTTCAGATTTTGGTTTTCTAAATTTATAGCATACCATCATGGATTTTTGGTTTTGAGTATTATTCCCCCCTTTTTTTGTAAGAAAGTAAAGGAAAATTATTTTTGCAGGGAATCAATTTCAAGCAAGTTACTTCTTACAGCCAGAGCTCACTCCTTCACAGCTGGCCTTCAGAGATCTCATGTGGGATGCTAAGACAGGCACAGTAAGTACCGCAACCAAGTTACAACTTTTTAAAATATATATATTTTATTGATTATGCTATTACAGTTGTCCCATTTTACTTCTCCCCTTTATTCCCCTCTTCCCTGCATCCCTCCTCCCACCAACATTCTCCCCTACCCCCCATTAGTTCATGTGCATAGGTCATACATATAAATTCTTTGGCTTCTCCATTTCCCACACTATTCTTAACCTCTCCCTATTTTCTACCTACCATTTATGTTTCTTATTCCCTGTACCTTTTCTCCCATTCTCTCCCCTCCCCTTTCCCATTGATAACCCTCCATGTGGTCTCCATTTCTGTGATTCTGTTTCTGTTCTAGTTGTTTGCTTAGTTTGTTTTTCTTTTTTTCTTTTAGGTTCAGTTGTTGATAGTTGTGCATTTGTTGTCATTTTACTGTTTGTAGCTTTGATCATCTTTTTCTTAGATAAGTCCCTTTAACATTTCATATAATAGGGCAGGGGTGTCAAACTCATTTTCACTGGGGGCCACATCAGCCTTGCGGTTGCCTTCAAAGGGCTGAAATAATTTTAGGACTGTATAAATGTAACTACTCCTTAACTGTTAAGGAGTTGGAATTACATTCAGCCCTTTGAAGGCAACTGTGAGGCTGATGTGGCCCCCAATGAAAATGAGTTTGACACCCTGTAATCTGGACTTGGTGATGATGAACTCCTCTGAACTTTACCTTATCTGGGAAGCACTTTATCTGCCCCCTCATTCTAAATGATAAATTTGCAGGATAGAGTAATCTTGGATGTAGGTCCTTGCCTTTCATGACTTGGAATACTTCTTTCCAACCCTTCCTGCCAATAAGGTTTCTTTTGAGAAATCAGCTGATAGTGTGTGTTATGGGAACTCCTTTGTAGGTCACTCTCCTTTCCTCTTGCTGCTTTTAAGGTTCTCTTTTTATCTTTAATCTTGGGTAACTTAATGATGATGTGCCTTGGTGTGTTCCTCCTTGGGTCCAATTTCTTTGGGACTCTTTGAGCTTCCTGGACTTCCTGGAAATCTATTTCTTTTGCCAGATTGGGGAGATTCTCCTTCATTATTTTTTCAAATAATTTTCAAATTTCTTGCTTTTGTTCTTCTCCCTCTGGTACCCCTCTGATTCAGATGTTAGAGTGCTTAAAGTTGTCTTGGAGGTTCCTAATCCTCTCTTCATTTTTTTGAGTTCTTGTTTCTCCATTATGTTCTGGTTGAATGTTTATTTCTTCCTTCTGGTCCAAATCATTGATTTCAGTCCCAGTTTTCTTCCTGTTACTGCTGGTTCCCTGTACATTTTCCTTTATTTCACTTTTCATAGCCTTCACTTTTTCCTCTATTTTGTGACCATACTCAACCATTTCTGTGAACATCCTGATTACTAGTGTTTTGAATTCTGCATCTGATTGGATGGCTGTCTTCATTGCTTAGTTCTATTTTTGGAGCTTTGATCTGCTCTTTCATTTGGGCCATATAAAAAAATATGGCAAACCCTGGCTGGCGTAGCTTGGTGGATTGAGTGCAGGCTGCGAACCAAAGTGTTGCAATTTTGATTCCCAGTCAGGGTACGTGCCTGGGTTGCAGGCCATGACCCCCAGCAACCTCACATTGATGTTTCTCTCTCTCTCTCTTTCTCCCTCCATTCCCTCTCTAAAAATAAATAAATAAAATCTTAAAAAAAATATGGCCCAAATCTTGGTGCCTTTTATAAAGGAAGGGGCAGGGCCTTAGGTATTCGCCAGGGTAGGGCAATCCACTTTGCTGCATTGTGGCCCTGTATGTGGGGGAGGGGTCAAAGAGGGAATGATGCTGCTTGCTCAGCTCTCACTGGCTTTCAGTCACTTCTCCCACAACCCACAAGCAAATTGGGCGCTTCTGGTGCTGATTCCCTGTGGGTGGGCTTGTGTACATTCTAGGTCCCTGTGGGTCTCTCCAACAAACTGTTCTGTGAGGCTGGGATTTTCTCCCACTGCCGCAACCTGCACAGGTTTTTAGTCAGAGGTATTGAGGCTTTATTTTTCTGGAACCCTGGGTTGTGCAGTCTGTCTCACTCCCCAGTTGTTCCTCCCAGTTTATCCTCATGCAAATGTGTGACTGCCCAGTTTGCCAGCTGCCGCTTTGCCTGCTCTAGTCCTCCAGCCACCACCTTGCCTCAAGTCCTCTCTACCCCGGCTACCTGTCTTCACCCCTCCTACCAGCCTGGATGAATGTTTCTTCTTTAACTCCTTGGTTGTCGGACTTCCATACAGTTTGATTTTCTGGCAATTCTGGTTATTTTTTGTTTTTAAATTTTTTGTTGTCTTTTGTTTGTGCAGGGAGGCAAAGTGTATCTCTCTATGCCCCCATCTTGGTCAGAAGTACCCCCTAAGTTACAACTTTTCCAGATTGTGTTATGATTGCAAATATACCAATAACATAAATTAATTAATGCATTATGGAAAACAAAGAAATGGTTTCTGTTTGTGATTTTGAAATATGCAGTGATAGTTTCATTGTTAAGACAAAACTTGGGTTTGTGACTTTGTTCCTTTTCTCCACTGCTCTCTTCTCCCATTGTTACAAAGGAAACTGTACTTATCTGAATCACTATTTGTCTCAATTTCTTCATCTGTGAAAAGGGAATAATAATAATAGTTTCCACATAGTGTTATTGTGAGAATTATATGTGTGAAAGGCAGATAACAGTGCCTGGCTCATGATAATAACTCAGGAAATATTAGCTAGTATCATCATCATTAGTAGTAGTAGTAGAAATAATATTATTTTAATTATGTAGGAATGAGTACTTTCTGAATATACTTTTGTGGGGACAGCTTGGAGTAAAGGATTACTGTATCCCCAGTATTTGAAGTAGGAAATACTCTTGATATTTAAGTCTGCTCTCAAACTTTTTAGCAGATCTGCATTGCATTGGTGCACATCACTCCCTTTCCTGTTTACCTTCCACTTTTTTGTCTCCCCTCCCCCAGAACTTCAGGGAAAGAATGAAAGGACCCAGTGTGGTCAGGTTTTGTGTTCAGGGTATGTACAGAATTGTTGTGCCCTTTTTCCTCTCAAACTAAGCATTGCCTGGAACCTTTTTTGTATTAAGTATCTTTTATTTCAAGTCAACAAAGATAGTGTATTTGGTCTGTTTAGTGTGCTAGTACTAGAATAAATGGCAACTAATTTATGAACTTGTACCCAGAGAGCTAAATATTCATGTCTCATTTCTTAAGTTGAAAAGGTAACAGGCTTTTAATTGTTGTCTTATTTCTTTAATATTATAAGCCATTTAAAAGGAAGTACCCTGACCATAAAGCAGAATGTGAAGAATTGATGATGTTTGCCCTGACTGGTGTGGCTCAGTGGGTTGGACGTCATTCCAGAGACCAAAAGGTCTCTGGCTTGATTCCCAGTTGGGGCACATACCTGGGTTGTGGGCCAGGTGCTTGGTTGGAGATATGCGAGAGGTAACGAGTTGATGTTTCTCTTGCACATCCATGTTTCTTTCCCTTTCTTGCTCCCTCCTTTCCTCTCTCTCTAAAAATAAATAGTAACCCTGGCTGGTGTGGCTCAGTGGATTGAGCACTGGCCTGCAAACCAAGAGGTTGTGCGTTGATTCCCAATCCGGGCACATGCCTGGGTTGCAGGCCATTTCTCTCTTTCTCCCTCCCTTCCCCCTTCTCTAAAAATAAATAAATAAAATCCTTAAAAAAATAAAAACAAATAAAATCTTTTTAAAAATTGAAGATGTTATGATATTAGAAACAAGAATGCCAATTTATTGACATTCTGAACTAGACTTGTGAAGTAGAACTGAACAGCCACATCCAGTGGTCAGTACATTCTTGCATTTTCTCTTGTCAAAACATTTGTATGAGAAGCCAAGGGACAATGTAGATAAGTGCTTGAAAGCAAAGGAAGGAGGAGCTGACAGGATGCTGTGAATGTTGCTGTGACCATCTACTCTAATCCACACTGTGGAGGAGGGACTGTGTGAAGGAACCTGGAGTACATGATTCCATGGTCAGGTCACACATTTTATCTGATTGTATGGACTGGTTGTTTTTTTTTTATCACAATTCTTATGCATTTACCCCAAAATGCAAATATTTTAAATATAAATATTTATTTAAAATGTACCTGAAAATTTTACCTAAAAGTGTACCTGAAAAATTAAATTTAAATTAATTTGACTTAAGTTAATTATATTAACTTGAAAAATTAAATTTAAATTAATTTGACTCAAGTTAATTAGATTAACTTATAAGTAACTATTGATACTTATGGGTGTATATTTGTGTTTAATTTTTTTCTTTTATTCTTTTTATTTTATGTGTATTTTCTTAAGTGTTTATAAAGGATACTTTGAAAATAAATCCATTTTTTAAGTCACAAAAGTAAACCTTTTTTATAGCTCATTTTTCTCTCAGATTAGGTCAAGACCAAGCCGTGTTTCATTGATTCTGACCCTCTGGAGCTGCAAAATGATTCCTGTCCCCGGAGGGAGCATCCAGGTTCTCAGCAGACACGTGCGCCTCTGTCTGTTCGATGGTAGTAAGGTGAGCTTGCTGAGGAGCACGTCGGTTCACGTCAAGATGGAAAACAGTTTGTTAACAGCATGTGTGAAACATGTACTGCATGGGGTCTGCCTGCCTCTGTGTCTTTTTCTCTATATGTATAGGTGTATATATGAATGTGTATGTATGTGTATATATATATAAAATAACATATGGTAAAACACAAACCACATGAGTTCTGATGACATAGGCTTATCTTCTGGCTATTTCCATTGCTAGGTATGTGATGTTCACTTATATATCATAGTTAACTCCTCTGAGCCTTAGAATTTTACCTACAAAAGGTATTGATACCTGTCTTCTACTATTGTACAGCTCAGGTCTTCAGTGCATAGAGTAGCATTTCTGACAACTGTATATCCCTGTATAGCCAACACCCCAGTCAGGATGTGGAACATTACCCTCACAAAGTTTCCTTGTGTCCTTCTCCACTTGACTCCTCCATGACTCCTAAGAGAGTATTTTATACCCAGTACCAAAAACCTTGAATGACTTCTAAAAAATAAATTGATTTCTTATAATAGCTTAAATAGTGCTTAGGTGGAAATTTATAGCTTTACTTGCATATACTACTAGACAAGAAGGAAGATTTAAGATTGGTGATCTAAGCTACCAAATGAAGAGGCTAGGAAAGGAAGAGTGAGTTAATTCAGAAGAAAGTAAAATGGAGAAAATAATGAAGATAAGAGTAGCAATTAATAAAATACCATATTTTTTGGACTATAACATGCACCTTTCCCCCTCCAAATTTGGGAGGAATAATGGTTGTTAATGCTGTTGTTGAGTTCTGGTTGCATTTACATTGGTGAAATATTATGTTATTTATGTTATTAAATATTTTACCACATTTTTTGCTTCAAAATTTTTTTCCCTATTTTCCTCCTCTAAAACCTAGGTGCATCTTATGGTCTGAAAAATATGGTAGAAAATGAACAAAAGAGAAAATTAGGGAAGCAAAAGTTCATTCTTTGAAAAGATTGGTAAGATTGAGAGATGCCTACCTAGTAAAACTGATCAAGACATTTTAAAAAGGGAGAGAGAAAGAAAACAAATGGTCAATATCATTTGTTGGATATGGAACCTCACCAGATCCTGCAGACATTAAAAGGACAGTAAGGGGATGTTGTAAACCTCTTTACACCAATAAATTTGACACCATGAAAATTCTTCGAAAACCACAATTTACTGAAGCTGACATTAAAAAAAGAAAATTTAAATAACCTTTGTTAAAAATATTGAAACTTTAATTACAAACCTTCCAATGAGGAAAACTCTAGGCCCAGATGGCTTCACTGGTGAGTTCCTCCAAACATTTAAGGAAGATATAATATGAACAGTAGACAAATTCTTCTGAACATGAGGAAGAAATGCTTCCCACTCATTTTATAAAGTCAGGAAAAACATGATGCCAAAATATGACTAGATATTACAAGAGAAAAAATTATAAGACTGGTATCCCTCATGAATATTGAAACTAAAATCCTTAACAAAATATTAGCACATTGAATATCATGACTAATTGGGGGATATTGGATTTGAATTCCAGGAATTCTAATGTACACACCTGTGTAACCAACATTTAACACTTGAAAATAGATCATTGTAATTTGCCATATTAACAGAGCTAAAGAAGAAAAACTGTGTGGTTATCTCAATAGATGTAGAAAAAGTATTTGACCATTTATTAATTAAAAAAAAAATCTCAGCACACTAGGAACAAAAGGGAGTGTCCTTAAATTGGTAAAGGTCAACAAGAGAAAACTAAAGCTAGCATAATCATACTTAATGGTGAAATATTGAACACTTGTACCCTAAAATCAGGAACAAGTCAATGATGTCAAGAAATAAAAACTACAACTCAGTTTTGTAAAAGGGCAAAAGCAGACTTCCTGCCAAGATGGTGGCATAGTCAGACATGGCTCGCCTCTTTGCACAACCACAACAAAATTACAACTAAGATATTAAATAACCATCGCTCAGAACTAACAGAAATCAAGTTGAATGGAAGTCTGACAAGTACAGAATTAAAGAAACCACATCCATCCAGACTGGTAGGAGGGACGCAGATGCAGAACTGGCTTGTACAACATCCATTTGTGGTAGATAAAAATTTGGGAGGGATATATTGGGAGCAAGGAGACAGCCCCACACCAGGCCCTCTAGCCCAGGGTTCCAGTGCCAGGAAAATAAGTCCACACAACTTCTGGCTGCAAAAAGCAGTGGGGATTGAGTTGGTGGAAGAAACTTCTAGAGCCCCAAGCAATTCCTCTTAAAGAACCCACACACGGACTCACCTACTCATGCTCACTCCTTCTGGGCTCAGGCAACAGGGTGGTGGCTTGAGGGGCACCAGTGGCATAGAGGGAGAGGCTGAGGTGCCTGGCATCAAGGTGAACAGAGGCCATTGTCCCTTTTCTGGGTCCTCCTCCCACAAAGCCTGCACACTGGTGCCATAGCTAAGATTCTGCCAACCTAACACTGACTGGTCTTGGAGATCCCTAGAGACTTTGTCCCACCCAACTTACGGGGCCCATTCAAACTGCTTTTCCAAATGAATGGTCTTGGCTCATATGCTTTACAATATCCTAAATCCTCTCAAACAAGGAACAGCTGGCCTTGTGAGCCCAAGGCCTAGAACTAGCAGCCTAGATTCACAGCTTGGCTTTGTCTGGAAATCTCTAAGCCCAGCAAAAGTAGCAGCCATCTCAGATTGCTTTACTTCTCAGACAGGGTGCCCCAGGCAAAACAGAGATGGGGGGCTGATCTTGGCCTGCACCACCAGGAAACCCCAGAGCCAGTGCATCAGTGGACACCTACAGACCATGTTGGAGCACCACCTCCCTGCCCCTGCACAGCTGACCCTCTATGGGGGAGGGAGGCTGGTGGTAAGTGGTCACAGCCAATCCTTGCAGCTGACTGACCTGGGTAAATCCCTCCCATTGATCTGCCAACAGCAACCAAGGCTCAACTATAAGAAAAGAGTGTACTCAGCCCACACGAAGGGCACACCTCGAGTTCCCAGCTTGGGTGATAGGGGAGGCTGTGCCACTGGACCCTACAGGACACCTACTACATTAGGCTACACTACCAAGACATGGAGTCAAAGTGGCTCTCCCTAATACATAGAAACAGACACAGGGAGGCTGCCAAAACAAGAAGACAAAGAAACATGACCCAAATGAAGAACAGATCAAAACTCCAGAAAAAAGAGCTAAACGAAGTGGAGATAAGCAAGCTATCAGATGCAGAGTTCAAAACACTGGTTATAAGGATGCTCAAGGAACTTAGTGAGGACGTCAGTAGCATCAAAAAGACCCGGTCAGAAACAAAGTATATACTAACTGAACTAAAGAACAATTTACAGGGAAACAACAGTAGAACAGATGAAGGCGAGAATCAAATCAATGATTTGGAACATAAGGAAACAAAACACAAACAATCAGAATGACAAGAAGAAAAGAGAGTCCCAAAAAATGAGGATGGTGCAAGCAGAGTGTGGGATGACTTTAAGCAATCCATCATGCACCTCATAGGGGTGCCAAAGGAGAAGAGAAAGAACAAGAAATTGGCAATCTATATGTACACTGCATGATAAAAGAGACAATTCACCAAGAACATGCTATGGTCCTAAATGTGTATTCACCTAACATCAATAACTTCAAAATACGTGAAGTAAATACTGATAGAATTGAAGGGAGAAATGGGCAGAGCCACAGTTATAGTTGGAAACTTTAACACTTCTCTCTCAGTAATCTATGCAACAGTCAGACAGAAATTTAGTAAGCACATGAGAGTACTAAATAACACCATCAACAAACTGGCTCTGACACTTGTACAACACTGCACCCCAAAATAGTAAACTACATGTCTTTTAAGTGCATATGGAACATTCAGCAAGAGAGATGATTCTGAACAATTAAAAGGATTCAAGTCATGCAATGTGTGGTCTTTGATCCTATAGAATTAAATTAGAAATCAGGAACAGAAAGATAACTGGAAAAATTCTTAAATACTTGGAAATGAAACAACAGATTTCTAAATAATCAAAGGTTTAAAAGGAAATTTTAAGGGAAATTAGAAAAGATTTTGAACTGAGCAAAACATGAAAATGTAGCATATAATCTGTGGGATGTTGGCTGAAGCTGTGCTGATAGCACTGAGACAATTCCCAAGTGAATGGCCAGACTTTCTCCTGAGGAGCTGATGCTTGAGTTGAAATCTGAGGGGTGAACAGGACTTTGCAAGGCACAATGAAAGGGAAGCGTGCACCTTGCCAAAGGAGCAGTGCAGGTGAAGGCCGCAGTGGGAAAGGACTTGGGAAGCGGGTGGCCACTGTGGCTGAGTGGAGAGAGTGAGGGGAAGTGCAGAATGGGGTGAAATGGGAGTTGGCAGGAAGGAGTATCATGTAGGACATTGTAGGCTGTGGGGTAGGAGTTTTGTCTTTATGCTAAAACAGGAAAATTACTAGAAGTGACATGATTTAGATTTATATTTTGGGAAGATGTCTAGCTCCTCTTGAGCTGGATTTGAGGGGCAGAAGGGACATAAGAAGACCATTTGGGAGCTCTGGCATGTTGTGGTGGTGAATGGGCAGCAAGTGTCACCTTCAGGAAAACAAAACCGGAGCCAGCCTGCCTGGGATTAACCTTGTCTCCACTGACTGCCGAGTGTGGGATGCTTACCAAAGTTCTTGACCTTGCTCTCATTTTCTTCATCTGGCACACACCTAGGGTCAGTGTGAGTGTGATTTACTGAGTGAGCGTGATTTACTGAGTGAGCATGGTAGGTGTGGGAGAGATGATGATGGTGACTCTAGGGAAGTGGAGGTAGAGATGGAGGTAAAACCAGCACTATTTGGTGACGGATCAGATATGGCAGGTTAAGGAGAGTGGGGTCTCTGTGGCGGTGACATTCAGTCAGGTTGGGAACAATGAAAGCAGATCAGGTCTGGAGGAGTTTGTGGGTTTCGCTTGCTTATCCTGAGTATACTTCTAACTGGCGGCATGAAAAAAATGCCGTCCTTTCACCTGAACTGGGAGTAAATAAATGAACTTGTGTTACAGGGACCCTGCCTCATTTCCACACTCGGCACAGTCCTTACCGCTGTTGTAAATGAGCCAGTAGGTGTCATCAGTGACCAAGAAAAGATGTAACTGCCTTCTTGCCCTGGGGTGTGGTTTTGGACTTTTCACTATACCTTTTCCTGTTCTCATCTATGAGAACCTAAAATGAAGATTGGAACTTTATTCAGAATAATAGAAGTTATTTTACACAAAAATAATAGAATTTATGAAATTAATTTATGCCAACTTTCCCGATTGAGAAGTTAGAACAAATACTGATGCTATCCACTTAAAAGAGTGCTTCTTCAGTAAATCTAAGCCTAGTTACAAATAAAAAGCATTTTTGTGAACCTCATTAACAAGACATTGTTTGCTTCTAACAATAGCTGAGTAATCTTCTCTTAGAACAACTCGCTCAGTGGTGACAACTGTAAATTCTGGGGGATATACAAAAAGCAACTATCTGAAGTCATCAAAAAGTATCTAAAAGGGGGCAGATGCTAAGAGGAGTCTGCAACTGTTAGTCTGCTGGGATTGATTTTCTTTCTGTAACTCTTCTCTTTTCATTCATCTGTGTCTTTTTCCTGCCTTGGTGCGTGTTTCTTGGAAATATTTTCTCAGTCTCTTCTGAATTATCTGTAGTGCTGTGGAGCGGATCTCTCTGTGCAGCGTTTTAGTGGTTGCTCCAGGTGTTAGCTGTACACAAGTAACTCACCACAGTCTTGTAGAGTCTCTATTCCAGTGTGAGTCATGAATAGAACCCTCACCACCCTTTAATTGTTGTTCATCTGTCTCCTTTCTAATGTCGCTGTAACCACTTCCCTTCCATACAATGAGAACTACATCACACAGTTTTATAATTTTTGCTTCAACGATCAAGCATAACTTAGAAACCTCAAGAGAAAATCTGTTATACTCTTATTTTTACTCTTTCTGTTCTTCCTTCCTTCCTAATAAACAAAGATTCCTTCTTTTATTGAGTCTTTCCTGCTTAGAGAACTTCTTTAACCATCTTTTGGGGTAGGTCTTCTGGCTGCTGACTCTCTTAGTTTTCCTTTATCTGAGAATGTTTCTGTTTACTCCTCATTTCTGAGGGATGTTTTCACTGGAGATAGAATTCTGGGTTGGTGATTCTTTTCTTTGGCACTTGACAAATATGGTGCCATTTTCTTCTGGTTTCTGTGATTTTCGACAAGAATCCACTGCCGTTAGAATTGTTCCCTCATCAGCTAATTGAGCTGGTGTTTCTCTCTTGCTGCTTTTGAGATATTTGTGGTTAGTTTTCAAAAGTTTGTGATAAATAAACCATGGCATAAATTTCTTGGGTTTATCTTGTTTGGGCTTTATTCATCTTCTTAAATATGTAGTTTGTATGTTTTGACAGATTTGGGGATTTTTCAGCCATTATTTTCTCTGATACTTTTCAGCTTCAAACTCTCCCTTCTTCTGGGACATTATAGCAAATAAAATGCAGTCTCACATTGAAAACTAGGTAATAATTAGAAGGAGTTTGTATTCCAGGAGTCCAGTTTGAAAATGTGTTATTTTTGGGATAGTTTAAATACATTCATATATATTAGGTGTTGAAGGAAATAGGGACTTTCTGATGTGGAAAAATCACTTGGCTGACCATAAGACACTCCTAGCTGCCTACCACTAGGGACTTACAGGGCAGTGAATTAAATTTGACCTAAGATGACATGTTTGGGATAACTTCTAATTAGTTTTAATGCTTAGTTTTAGAAGTGCTATACTAAAATATTTTTATTGAAAATAAAAATTGTCACCTGTTCTTTTGAAGACGTCAATTTTGGCCATAACTTTACAGAATTTGAACTCTTCTTCATAGTTTTGGCTCCTTTTGTGTTTCATTGTTTTATGTATATTGTGGGATTAACTTCTGCAGTAGCATTTTGTGAGATAAATTGCAGGAAGAGTGTAATTTATGGGCCTAGCGATCTTGAAGAAGACAGAAATATGTGTGAGAGTTATTCACCCTGGCTGTGTTAGGAGCAAGGTAAAACACTACATGTGAAATGCTGTTACAGGTCATGTTTCTTAAAAGGCCATTGGTACCTGAAATTTCACCTACTTTTTTGGTAAACCTAGCTCAGATATTAATTATTTCATGTAATACAATTTGTTGTAAGTGCAAAGATCAGAGTCTCAATTTATTTTATTCGTTCCTATTTTGTTTTATAAACAAGTGCTTTAAGACTTGTTTTTGTTAATCATTGAAAAAGTTATGTATGTACTTGGTGTTAAAAGAAATGGCAGAATTGCACAGAGTAAGAGCTGAAAGATCCCCTCTGCCCCTGCTCCACACAGCACAGTCACTGGTAAGTGTTCAGGGTGTGGAAGCGGTGATGTTTCAGAGAGCTTTCTACATGCTTTCAAATGGCAAACTCTCATTTCAGGTTCTAAGCAACATTCATACAGTCAGAGCCACATGGCAACCTAAAAAGCCCAAAACATGGACCTTTTCTCCCCAGGTGAGTCATCTGCTGAGTGGCTGGAATGAAACATGAATTTCTTTGCCCTGTTAAGTGTTGTATAATTAATCTCTAAGGTGGGATTGTCAAAGAGTATTTATGAAATGACATAGTTATATTTAGCACAGAATATACCATATTTTCAGACCATAAGAGGCACCTAGGTTTTAGAGATGGAAAATAGGAAAAAAAATTTTGAAGCAAAAAATATGGTAAAATATTTAATAACATAAATAATATAATATTTCACCAATGTAAATGTAAACAGAACTCAACAGCAGCATTAACAACCATTATTCCTCCCAAATTTGGAGGAGAGGGAAAGTGTGTCTCATAGTCCGAAAAATATGGTATGTAGTCACTTTGAATTATTAGGTTATTTCATGTTCTTTGAAATTTTGAGAAAAATTACTTAAACTTCTGAATTAACAAAGTTATAATTCCTATGAATCATCTCATTCAGCAGATTTCAGGGTTCCTTTCTAAAAAATGCCCTCTGATGAAAAATGGAAACAAGATAACATTTAGGAAACATTTTTAAAAAGTGAAGTCTCCCACTGTGTTAATGAGAGCTGTGCTTTCTGTAGATAAAATCAAGGGCGACACCTAGGGGACTGGGACATGCATGGCACCCAGAGACGGTCCAGACTGGGACAGACAGGCCCAGAGTGAGGCTGGGTGTTTCCAGACCACTGAGTCAACACATAGGGGCCAGTGAAGACAAAGATGTCTTATGTTTTTTTTTTTTTTTTGTAGTTTAAGTTGTGTTTATTGGTGCTTCTTGCAGTAAGAGAGACTATTCAACATGCGGAATCAGGAAAGAGATGTTAGGAAGGGCTTGTTATGGGATTAGGCCTGGTGTTAGGTTTTTTTAAAAAGGTTTTATTTACTTATTTTTTTTTAGATTTTATTTATTTATTTTTTAGAGAGGGAAGGGAGGGAGATAGAGAGAGAGAGAGAGAGAAACATCAATGTGTGGTTGCTGGGGGTTATGGCCTGCAACCCAGGCATGTACCCTGGCTGGGAATCGAACCTGGGACACTTTGGTTTGCAGCCCATGCTCCATCCACTGAACTACACCAGCCAGGTTATTTACTTATTTTTATTTTTTAAAAGATTTTATTTATTTTTAGAGAGAGGAAGGGAGGGAGAAAGAGAGGGAGGGAAACATCAACATGCAATTGCTTCCTGTGCACCCCCCACCAGGGACCTGGCCCACAACCCAGGCACATGCCTCAGACCAAGGATGGAACCAGTGACTCCCTGGTTCACAGGCAGGCACTCAATCCACTGAGCCACATGAGCCAGGGGCTATTTACTTATTTTTAGAGAGAAGGGAAGGGAGGGTGAAAGAAAGGGAGAGAAATATCAGTGTGTGGTTGCCTTTTGAACACCCACTACTGGGGACCTGGCCTGCAACCCAGGCAGTGTCCTGACTGGGAATTGAACCTGTGACCCTTTGGTTAGCAGGCTGGTGCTCAATCCACTGAGCCATACCAGCCAGGGCTGTGTTAGAATTTTGAGTGTCTAGTGAAGCTTTGAATTGTATGCTCTCAGAAAGTGGAGCAATTCTATAATTTGGTATCTTAGTAAGTTTATCTGGGATGCAGAAGGAACAAGTGAGCTTAAAACTCTGGTAAAGGAACAGCAGTCATTGATTTTAGCTGGAAGAGTGCCATATTTGATCATTTTTGTGGTTTGTTTTCTGTGTGTGTCTGTTTTATCTGTGCTTAGACACAGTTATAAAGTGGTCCTGTCTCTGTCTTGCTCCATCCTCGTCATAGAGAAGTCTTTTCTGATGCTGGTGTTCTGTGGAATGGTTTACATTCAGTAGAAGAAGCCTTGGCCTCGCTGTGGGGCCAGCCCAGCTCCCAGCAGACAGCTGTCAGGCCTCCTTTTCCCTTTCTTTCTCTCTAAATATATGTACATGTATGTATAACCATATTTAGGATCATTTATTGCATTGTTGTCATGTTTTATTTCTATAATGTCTACGTTCTTTTGATTAGTTGTCTGTAGTTTTACTTTATTTTTTTCTTCCTCCAAGTTATCATTGCTTTAGTATTTACTCCCCTGCCACACTAGTTCCTATGTGTCACTGCACCTAAGAATGGTTATTAACTTCTCATGGTATCAAAAGATTGTGAGCCAAGCCCTGTCTGGGTGGCTCAGTTGGTTGGGGCATCATCCCACTCACCAAAAATATTGTGGGTTTGATCCATTGTCAGGGCACATACCTCAGTTGCGTGTTTGATCTCCAGATGGGACATGTACAAGAGATAGCTGATTGATGTTTCTCACATCTGTGTTTTTCTCTCTTTCTGCACCCCATCTCTAAAATCAATAAACATATCCTAGGGTAAAGACTAAAAATGAAAAAAGATCAAAGGATCATAAAACAAGACAGAGGTTCAGCGAGAGGGCACCAGCTGTAGAGGAGGCCTGGCCACTGTGCTTGGGGGCTGTGTGTCCACATACGCCTAGCACACAGCTCCTGGAATCCCGTTACCCCCTGAGCATCTTGCTGCTTATATTTTGGCACAACACCTCACCATTCTGATATGACATCAGTGTGTGAAGTGTTGGGGTAGAATTTTCTGATGTTTTTTCAGCCATAAAGTTGAACTTTTTGGAAGGATAAATAATAAGTATATATTACTTTGTTGAATGAAATTAAGCATCTGTTGTTAGGTGTGAGGCATTCTTTCTAGGTATTGTGGGAACTTAAATGGTACTAGAGAAGAAACCTATACACATATGGTAACAGTGCCTTTATTTATGGAGCTCTAACCATGTGCATTATCTCATGTAATCCTTGGGGTACCCCATGGGGTAGGTGTTGTTGATAACCGTCTCAATGGTAACATGTAACAGTTACGGTATTCCAAGTGCTGTGGAAGCACAGAGGGATGTGAAATTAATTGTAGGTGCAGGAAGGTTTTGTGAAAGAGAAACGAGACCTTAAAGGATGGATGGGATTTTATAGGCAGGAAAGAGGGATGTGGTTGTTCTGGGAGAGGGAATGGAATGAGCAAAAGGTAAAGGAAAGGGGAATTTACAGGGCACGCCTCAGGAAAGGTGACCGATGTGTGTGCATGAAGTCTTTAATGTTAGTTCTGTTTACAAAGAACTGTGGTTAGTATAAAGGTCTTATATATGCAGATGATTTTTGTCACACCTCTGGGGACCTAGGCATAGTATTTGTTTTACTTAACCTCTCTAAGGAGAAGGTAAGTTAAAAGTATTTCCCTTTAAAACAAAGTTAAAGTTTTAAATTTCAAATCATTGGTGTAGATAAGTCTAGTCCATCTGCTTTTTGTTTCCTTTAAAAAGACCTTTATGGTGGTGCAAAAGCATAAGCTGCGTACAGGTGAATGGGGCCGAAACCTCCCTCCCAGTTTTAATTTTTATTGGTAACATTGGTTTTCTTATTGTTTCAGGTTACCGGCACCTTGCCATGCTTGCTTGATGGTGATTGTTTTATCAGGTCCAATTCTTCATCTCCAGATCTTGGAATATTATTTGAACTTGGAATTTCTTATATTCGCAATGTATGTTAGTTGAAAGAAAAAGCTTTCTAATGTATTATATCAGTTAAAAAAGTTTTTTAAGCCTGTATTTACAAGTAAAATAATTGATATTTTTGTGTGTAATAGAATTTTAGTCCTTGAGGAATGGGAATGGTAGTGATTTAAATTTTCTAAATGTGCCGCTTATGCAGTAGCATTTAATATTAAAGTGTAGAAGATGTTCATCATCACTAATCACTGGGGAAATGCAAATCAGAACCACAAACTATCACCTCACACTGTTCAAGTGGCTGTTATAAAAAAGACAAGAAGTAAGAAGTGTTGGCGAGGATGTGGAGAAAAGGGAACCCTCTTGTAGTTGTCGTTGGTGGGATTGTAAATTGGTGCAGCCTCTGTGGAAAACAATATGGAAGGTCCTCAAAAAATTAAAAATCAAATTACCATATGACTCAGCAGTTTAACTTCTGGGTATTTAATCCGAAGAAATCCAAAACACTAATTCGAAAAGATGAATCTATCACTATGTTTATTGCAGCATTATTTACAATGGTCAAGATATGGAAACAACTTAAGTGTTCATCAACAGATGGCTGGATAAAGAAGATGTGGTACATACAGGGTCCAGCAGAAGTAACGCCTGCCTGAGTGTGGTTGGTAGGGTAGTAATATGAGTGTAATAATTTATAGTTTTAACTTGAACATTTCACCTAAAATGTCATATGGTGTGTTTGAGTGGGATATTGTTATATTACATAATTTCATGCTTATGATTTTGTGATAAAAGATTTTGAAATTAAAAAAAAGGCGTTATTTGTGTCAGACCCTGTATATACAATGGGATGTTATTCAGCCATAAAGAAGAATTAAATCTTGATATTTGCAAAAACATAGATTGTCCTCAAGGACATTATGCTAAGTGAAATAACACAGAGAAAGGCAAATACCATATGATTTCACTCATATGTGGAATCTAAAAATAACAAAAAATAATCTCAAAGATACAGATAACAGATTGGTGGTTGCCAGGTATGGTGTGTGAGAATGTAAAAGGGAAAAAAAGTGTCATCACTGAGTAGCACCAGAAAGGCTTATTACTGTCTAATGATTTGTGACCAAAAGAAAGAACCCTTTCAAAGAAGCAAAACAGCCTCAATATTTACTGAAACCAACAGTGGCAACAACGCCATAACTCAAGTTCTAGAGGTTATCTGCCAGATAATAGATAAATTATACCTAGATGAAGTGTGCCACAGTTCAGCAGCTATTACTTATGATCCTAAACATGACTAACAGTTAGAAAGTGAAAAAAGTAAAACAAACTAATGTATTCCTATTAAAAAGATTTTCCTGAGGCCCCACTCAGAAATTTTCATCTGTATCTCAATAGTGGCTGGGACATATGGCCATCTCTAGCTGAAAAAATATCTGGAAAGGAAGTATTTTTTAGCCAGCATATTGCCCTTCCATCCATGAAAAAATATTAATGTTCTCATAGTAGTGAAAAAAAGGGGGGAAATATTGAGTGGGGAAAAATAAAAATAAATAAATAAAAGTGTATTTGTTTATATTTATAGCTTGAATGAATGCCAGTGCTTTGAAAAAAATGAAAATATGGAAAGGATGGGACTTTGCAGGAAGTGGTAGAAAATTTTTGGTGGCATTCCACCACAGTGGTTTCTGTCGTAATGGGTTATTTATCCTTGTGAATGTGGGTTCAAATTAAGGGGTCTGGGAGAGTGGTGATTTTTAAAGGGAACTCCAGAAACTTGGATTAACTTAACATCATATAAACTATTGAACCAGTGAATGTGGGTCTGTAATATTAATTATCCGCTTCTGTAGTCTAACAGCTTGAAAAGTGTTCCATGGACACTAGCCCTTGTGGTAACCCAGAGAGCCCACTGTTCTTACACTGATGGTGTTACACCATCCTTGCATTTCTCTAAGGCAGATTCCTCTGTATCTGTTGTGTGGGTAGGACAGGAGAGAATGTGTCCCCTGTGTGAGCCCCAGTGGCCTCTGACTGTTGACAGGTGGGCAAAGTTCTGAGCAGAAAGACCCTTGAATGATTCAACTTGCTCGTTTATCTGTCAGGGAAACAAGGCTTCATGGCCTCATGTGGTGTTGATGTGATCTGGGTGCATTCTATCACACACATCACTCAAGAGACTTGAGCAACAGCTGCCACATCGTCAATCAGGTCTAGGGATTTTCAAGAATAATTTAACTTGACAGGATTTGCACATCACCAGGTGGTCTGCAGGTACAGGGACTCTGCTGTGCTTCACTTCATTTTCTTGTGAAGAGCTTTTAGTCTAAAGTGAATACTAAGTTTTTCCTTTAAAAGGACCTGGTATGTGCTTATAAATTGTACTGCTTCAGACATTGTTTCATCTGCTTTTTTTATTTCCTAGTCAACTGGTGAAAGAGGAGAATTAAGTTGTGGCTGGGTGTTTCTTAAACTTTTTGATGCCAGTGGAATTCCTATTCCAGCAAAGTAAGTTGGCTGTATATTCTTTCCAAATAAGTAATTTTGCAGAAATTCATTTTTTAGAATATAGATAGCTCAGGTTTGTAGAATGCATCTATTAACATTTCACTAACTTGTGGGGAGAGGGGTTTAATGTTGATTTTAATGTTCCTTTAGGTAGCGTGTGTAAACAGCACGTACAGTCTCATGCTAGGAAGAAGTGACACGTAGCAAAGGGATTATAAAGGATGTTTGTATCCACTGTCTGCTGAGAATGTTCTTCAGTAACTTCCTCTGGAATTAGCAATTTTCACAGTGCCGACACAGAACCCAGTTCCCTCCAAGAAGGGGAAGCGAAAGGGAGGTCGGGGTCCCTGGCCCTGTGTGGCGCTGCCTCCCTTCCGCAGGTGGCACAGTGGGGCTGGCATGGCAGCCTGGGCAGGCAGGCTTCAAACTTAGGACCAAAGGCAAACTGGTAGTGAATATTTACAATGGAGTGTGGGGCAAATTAGTTTACAGTGTGAGTGTGTGAAACAGAATTTATTCTTGTATTATTTATTACTGTATTATTTTCTGTATGAACAACTGTAAACCTACTTTTGCCATACCCTGTGTATACATAACAGGAGATTACTATCCCTAATATAAAAAGAGCCCTCAAAAATTGAGAAGACAGTTTAAATTTTAAAATGGGCATACACACAGAAATCCAAGTCCAGGATATAAACAGGAAATTCACACAGAGATGCAGTTGCGCAGTCAGGAGGAGGAGGATGAAGACCCAGATTTGCGTAAAGTTCAGGGCTCTAGTTCCCCTGTGTCTTTGTAATCAAGCTGCAGTTTCCTCCAATATTAGAATGGGGGGTTGTCATAGTTTCTAGCCCCGAAGGTTTAATTCAGGTAACGCTTCCTCCTCCACCTCCACTGAAGCCACAGGGTGGACAGGACACCCTTACCACAGGACAGGGGTGGAACTCGCGACTCCACCAGTCGTCCAGTGTCATACAGCAGAGGGGGGTGGGGCACTTTATCACCCCTATTCCTACCCCCTAAGAAGGTGTAGAAGCCCAACCTAATTGTGATTTTGGGGTTTGGGGTTTTAATAATGTTCAGAGTTTTAGTTGTACTTAGTTGGAGGGAAAGGTATGTCTACTCAATCTTTTCTAAAGTGAAGTCACAGCTATTTTCTTAAATGAGGCAGAGGCCTGTGGGTTGATACAGAAACATTTCCAGTGTATATTATTATATGAAAAAAGTGAGTAGCAGAATAGTATGTACACTGTGACTCTACTTCAGTTCATGAAAACTGTGCATATGTGGTGGGTTTGTGTGAATGGGTCCCAGAGGCTGCCCCCAGGAACAAGGAGTGGGGAGCTGGAGCAGTGGGGTTAAAGAGGGCTTTTACCTTCTGTTTTCTACACTTCAGTAGTTTGCAACTTGAAAAGACAGAGTGTTCAGTTTGAGATTAACTGCTGTATGTATCTGTTTGCATTTGCATAAGAAAAGATAGGGCCAGGGGCTACCAAACTAGGGGGGATGGGAGGGAGGTAGCTTTCATTTTTTACTTATTATTTCTACGCCATTCAAACTTTTTACAACAATCTACATGTAACGTTTTTAAAAAAGATTTTATTTATTCAACCCTGGCTGGTGTGGCTCACTGGATTGAGCGTTGACCTGTGAACCAAAGGGTCACTGATTCGGTTCCCAGTCAGGGAACATGCCTGGGTTGTGGGCCACATCCCCAGTAGGGGGCACACGAGAGGCAACCACACATTGATGTTTCTCTCCCTCTCTCTCGCCTTTCCCCTCGCTCTAAAAATAAATAAATAAATAAATAAATAAATAAAATATTTTATTTATTCACTTTTAGAGAGAGGGGAAGGGAGACAGAAGAAGAGGGAGAGAAACATCAATGTGCAAGAGATACATTGATTGGTTGCCTCTCACAGGCCCCCAACTGGGGACAGGGCCAGAAACCCAGGCATGTGCCCTGCCTGGGAATCAAATTGGCAATCTTTTGGCTTGCAGGCTGGCACTCAGTCCACTGAGCCACACCAGCCAGGGCTACATGTAACTTTTATATTTTAAAAATAATATAAAATCATAATGGCTTTAATTCAAATGATGATTTAAAATGTTTAAAAAATCATTTTAAATAAGTTATTGGAGGCAAAATATTTTAATGACATCAATAATCTTTCTCATGTTAATGTGGTAAGATATATTTCTACTGTTAATAGTTAAGAAAGAAAGAGACTTTATTTACTGAGATGATGCCCCATGGAAGGATTAACTTTCATTCTCGATGATCAATGAAAGAAATAAAATATCTATGGGTGTGTCTGTGCTAAAAAATAATTGACTTGCGACTCCAGTGTTTCAAAGTGTCCATCACAGCCTACCACTCTTTTTAGGACTTACGAGCTCTTCCTGAATGGTGGCACCCCTGCTGAAAAAGGTGTAGAAGTGGACCCGTCAGTATCCAGAAGAGGTATAGCTCTTACTGGTCACTTCCTTCTTTTCCTTTGAGATCAAGCAAACACAAGAGGCATCAGAGAAGATAGCTGAATTCTAATATGCAAATAGTAAATTTGCTTAAAAAATCATTCAATATTAAAATCTTAGTTATTTTATCCGTGTGCCTATTTTCTTGGTAGCACATATGAGACTCTACCCTAGGTAATGAGGAAGTATGAGGGCCCTCATCTGCTCCTTCTCATTGAACACTGAGCTACGTTAATAAGCAGGCTAACTCAGAGATTGTCTATCGCTAGTCAAATGGTGTAGACATTTGAAGTTGTGCTGCATATTCCAAGCTGCCCTCCAGAAATATTGAGCACCTCCATTTAATGTGTTCACTGACCAGGCACGGTCCCAGGCCGTGGGAGTGGAGAGTCTGACCGATGTGGTCCCTGCCTCGTGCAGCTCAGAGCCCGACAGTGTTGAAACTCCCTGTTCACTGCTCAGACCTCCCCGCCTTGTTTCACAACTCAGGACACTGCTGCTGTCCCAGCCGTGCCAGTCTCCCCTTCTTGGGACAGGAAGGAGTTGGGGGCCTGGGATGCAGGTGGTTTGACCTAAAGTCAGAGGTGCTTTTTTAAACTTCCCCTTTTTCTCTGTAATCCAGCAACAACAATGTAACTTTCAGGGGCAGGTACTGGTGCTAAAATACTTTATTGTGTTGTAATACTTTGTTTTTCTTAATTAAAATTAAAATACTTTATTTTGTTATGCACACTGTCCCTAGCACTGAAAACTTTTTACATTTATTACCTTTTTTAAGCACCTGGGAGTGTTTTCTATCAGATGATGACAATGAGGAGGCAGCCGCAGCTTCTAGTAAAACTGAGGTCTTTGAACAGAAGATCGAGAGACCTACTGAGGTTGGTACGGCTCCTACCTGTCTAGGGGATGCATTGTGTGCGACCATCTCTGCTTTCAGCTTCTCCTCCTGTGTGGAGATCTGTTGTTGGTTGTATTTCCTCATTAACTTGTTTGCCAAAGATCAGTAGGGAAAGGGAAATGGAATAGTGATAAAGTTCAGATTACCTTACTCTTTTTTTTTAAAGATTCTAGTTATTTATTTTTAGAGGGAGGGGAAGGCAGGGCAAATGAGAGGGAGGGAAACATTGATTAGTTGCCTCTCACATGCCCCCAACTGGGGACCTGGCCCACAACCCAGGCAAGTGCCCTGACTGGGAATCAAACATGTGACCTTTTGGCTTGAGGTACAACACCCAAGCTACTGAGCCACACTAGTCAGGGCAGATTAGCTTTTTCTTCTACTTACTAGTTAGCACAAAGGATAGATTTGGTTGGAAATAGTGTAGAAAACTTCTAAGTGGTTTTACCAATCCGTGAGCTTATCTTCAGAGAACATTTTTTAAAAATCTTTTTCTTTCTTTCTTTCCCTCTTCCTTTCCTTCTTCCTTCCTTCCTTCCTTCCTTCCTCCCTTCCTTCCTTCCTTCCTTCCTTCCTTCCTTCCTTCCTTCCTTCCTTCCTTCCTTCCTTCCTTTCTTTCGACAGGGAAAGGGAGGGGAAAAGACAAGGAGAGAAATATGGACATGAGGGAAAAAAATCAATTGGTTGCCTCTCATATGTGCCCCCCCTCCGGGGACCAAACATGCAACCCAGGCATGTACCCTGACCAGGAATCGAACCAGCAACCTTTTGCTTTGTGGTACAATGTCCAACTGAGCCACACTGGTCAGGGTGAGAACTTTTTAACACTCTGCTTGCTGAGGTGTAATTTAGTTTATTCCTTTAGTTTACAGTTCCCCTTTGAGTTTTAACAAATGTATACAGTTGTGTAACTATCACCACAGGCAACATAGAGAAAGTGGCCATTACTCTAAGCAGTTGTCTCTGCCTCTCTGTCTTTGTTTGTTGTCAGCGCCCCAGCCCATCATTCCTTTGTTTTCTTTCCCAACAGTTTTGCCTTTTCTGGAATATCTTATAAATTGGATCATACAGTATGTAGCTTTATAAGCCTGGCCTTCACTCAGTGTCATGTTTTCAGATTCATCCATGCCAGTGCATGTGTTAGTAGTTCTTTTTTGTTTAAACAGTACAGCCTAGGTTCAGACCATCTCAATAAAGCACGTACTGCAATAAAACAAGTCACATGATTTTTTTTGGTTTCCCAGTGTATATAAAAGTTATGTTCACACTATATTGTACTCTATTAAGTGTTCAATAACATATGTCTAAAAAACAATGTGCATACCTTAATTTCAAAATGCTAACCATTATATGACCCTGTTGGGAAAATGGCCAATAGATTCACTCAATGTAGGTTGGTCACAAACCTTCAATTTATACAAAACTCAGTAAAATTAAGGCACGCCTGTCTTCATTGGCTAGATGTCCTGTAGTGTGTCTATCCATTCGCTAGTTGATGGACATCTGTGTTGTTTTTAATTTTGGGAAATTATGGATAAAACTGCCCTAAATAGTTGCATATGAATTCTTTATATGTGGATGTATGTTTTCATTTCTCATGGGTACAGACACCTGGGAGTGGGGTTGTTAGGGCATCTAGTGTTTGTTTATTTTATGAGTAGCTACCAAACTGTTTTCCAAAATAACAACACCATTTTATACTCTCACCAGCAAAAAGCCCTGGAATTTATGTATACAAAACTGGGTATTTATCCTTACATGTTTAAACTTCAGTCACCTTCAAGGTACTATGCATTTGATGCAATACACCTATTGAGACTTTTATTCTTTTCTTTTTTTAATCTAAATTATATTTTATTGATTATGCTATTACAGTTGTCCTGATTTTTTTCCCCCTTTGCCCCACCCTCCATGCTCAAGCCCCACTCCCTCAGGTAATCCCCCCACCATTGCTCATGTCTGAGAGTCATGTGTATAAGTTCTTTGGCTACTCCATTTCCTATACTGTACTTTCCATCCCCATGGCTATTCTGTAACTACTGATTTGTACTTCTTAATCCCCTTACTTCTTCAGCCATTCTCCACATCCCCTCCGTCTGGAAACCATCAAAATGCTTTCCATAGCCATGATTCTATCTCTGTTCTTGTTTGCTTAGTTTTTTTGTTAGATCCAATTGTTGATAGATATAGATTTATTGCTATTTCATTGTTCATAATTTTGATCTTATTTTTCTTAAATCCCTTTAACATTTCTTGTAATAATGGTCTGGTGATGATGAACTCCTTTAAGTTATTTCTTGTCTGGGAAACTCTTTGTCTGCCTTTTAATTCTAAATGATAGCTTTGCTGGGTAGAGCAATCTTGGCTGTGGGCCCCCTGCTCTTCGTGACTTTGAATACTTCTTTCCAGCCCCTTCTAGCCTGCAAAGTTTCTTTTGAGAAATCAGCTGACAGTCTTATGGGAACTCCCCTGTAGGTAACTAACTTCTTTTCCTTTTGTGCTCTTCATATTCTCCCTTTATCTTCAAGCTTGGGCATTTTAATTATAATGTATCTTGGTGTGGACCTCTTTGCATCCATCTTGTTTGGTACTCTCTGTGCTTCCTGGACTTGCATGTCTATTTCCTGCATCACATTAAGGATATTTTCTTTCATTATTTTTTTTCAAATAGATTACCAATTTCTTGTTCTTTCTCTTCTCCTTTGGCACCCCTATGAGGTGCATGATGGATTGCTTAAAGTCATCCCACACTCTGCTTGCACCATCCTCATTTTTTGGGACTCTCTTTTCTTCTTGTCATTCTGATTGTTTGTGTTTTGTTTCCTTATGTTCCAAATCATTGATTTGATTCTCGCCTTCATCTGTTCTACTGTTGTTTCCCTGTAAATTGTTCTTTAGTTCAGTTAGTATATACTTTGTTTCTGACCGGGTCTTTTTGATGCTACTGACGTCCTCACTAAGTTCCTTGAGCATCCTTATAACCAGTGTTTTGAACTCTGCATCTGATAGCTTGCTTATCTCCACTTCGTTTAGCTCTTTTTCTGGAGTTTTGATCTGTTCTTCATTTGGGTCATGTTTCTTTGTCTTCTTGTTTTGGCAGCCTCCCTGTGTCTGTTTCTATGTATTAGGGAGAGCCACTTTGACTCCATGTCTTGGTAGTGTAGCCTAATGTAGTAGGTGTCCTGTAGGGTCCAGTGGCACAGCCTCCCCTATCACCCAAGCTGGGAACTCGAGGTGTGCCCTTCGTGTGGGCTGAGTACACTCTTTTCTTATAGTTGAGCCTTGGTTGCTGTTGGCAGATCAATGGGAGGGATTTACCCAGGTCAGTCAGCTGCAAGGATTGGCTGTGACCACTTACCACCAGCCTCCCTCCCCCATAGAGGGTCAGCTGTGCAGGGGCAGGGAGGTGGTGCTCCAACATGGTCTGTAGGTGTCCACTGATGCACTGGCTCTGGGGTTTCCTGGTGGTGCAGTCCAAGATCAGCACCCCCATCTCTGTTTTGCCTGGGGCACCCTGTCTGAGAAGTAAAGCAATGTGAGATGGCTGGTACTCTTGCTGGGCTTGGAGATTTCCAGGCAAAGCCAAATTATGAATCTAGGCTGGCTACTGCTAGTGCTCGGCCTGGGGCTTACTGAGGCCAGTTGCCCCTTGTTTGAGAGAATTTAGGAAGATGTGAAGCTAGAGCCAAGATCAGCCATTTGTATGAAAAAGCAGTTTGGGTGGGCCATTAAGTTGGATCGGACAGAGTCTCTGGGTATCTCCAAGGTGGGTCAAATAGTGTTAGCCAGGTTGATTGAGTCTCAGATATGGCACCAGTCTGCTGGCTCAGTCTGGATGGATGTGGTTCCTTTAATTCCATAGTTGTCAGACTTCCACTGAACTTGATTTCTGATGGTTCTGAGTGATGGGTGTTCTATATTTTAGTTGTGGTTTTGTTTTTAATTTATTTATTATTTCAAAATATATTTTACTGATTATGCTGTTAAGTTGCCCCATTTTTTTTCTCCCCCTTTTCCCCCCTCCACCCTGTACCCACCCTGTCCTCCAGCTTCCCCTCCCCTTTATTTCATGTCCATGGGACATACATATAAGTTCTTTGGCTTCTCTGTCTCCTTCATTATTTTTAACCTTCCCCTGTCTATTTTATGCCTACCAATTATGCTTCTTACTCCCTATAACTCCCCTCCCCACCCTGTTATTCCCTTCCCCCCTCACTGCTGAAAACCCTCCATGTGATCTCCATTTCTCTGGTTCTGTTCCTGTTCTAGTTTTTGCTTAGTTCTTGTTTGTTTTTGTATTTTAGATTCAGTTGTTGATAGTTATGAGTTTGTTGTCATCTTACTGTTCAAAGTTTTTGATCTTCTATTTCTTAGATAAGTTCCTTTAACATTTCATATAATAAGGGCTTGGTGATGATGAACTCCTTTAACTTGACCCTATCTGGGAAGCACTTTATCTGCCCTTCCATTCTAAATGATAGCTTTGCTGGATAGAATAATCTTGGATGTAGGTCCTTGCCTTTAATGACTTCAAATACTTTTTTCCAGCCCTTCCTGCCTATAAGGTTTCTTTTGAGAAATCAGCTGATAGCCTTATGGGAACTCTTTTGTAGGTAACTGTCTCCTTTTCTCTTGCTGCTTTTAAGATTCTCTCCTTATCTTTAAGCTCCTACCCTTTTCAGCAGCATGGATGGAACTGGAGAGCATTATGCTAAGTGAAAGAAGCCAGGTGGTGAAAGACAAATACCATATGATCTCACCTTTAACAGGAACCTAAACAATAAAACATATAAACAAGCAAAATATAACCAAAGACACTGAAATAGAGGACAGGCTGACAGTGACCAGAGGGGAGAGGAGAGGGAATTTCAGGGGAGAATTGGAAGGGTTTACAGGAACAAATATAAAGGACACATGGACAAAAACTAGAGGAGGTGGTGGAAATGGGAGGGAGGTGGGGAGGGCTGGCGGGGTGGGCTG